TCTTTCCTTCAAACAACTGTGGATCTGCTACGGAGAGCAGAGCGACGGCAGCTTTGGCAAAATTCTGGAATCCTCGAGAGCATGGTTCCTTACAGCCGAAGCAACCGGTAAGAAAAGAAGCACGATGACAAGCAAGGAAAGGAAAAACATTGTCTAATGTACTGCTTTCTAGTTGTGGCTAGTAGGATTCGACATTGATGGCAATGGTGTTACATGATGACAACAATCAACCAGAGTTGGCAATGTTGGTTCTTATCGGATGTCATTGGTGTTCCATTGGCATCTGGCGCCCTGGTGGGAGTCGGATTCTCCGATTTCACCACTGACTAGTTGGCGAAGCAATTCGGATTCCCAAATTGGGGCCTCATGGAAATGGCCTCCGAATGACCGATTCACCGATTCCAGAAAAGTTGTTGGGACTGGACCTTATCACCAAAAGGCGGGGAAACAGTCGGATGGAGAAGAAGAGACAGCTCACAATTTCGACGAAAGCAAAAACAAAACATCAGTCCATCAGCACTCACAACTCCAAAGATACAACTCCAAAGATACATCCACGCCACACCCGAGAATATCCCCACATGATCACCAACAGAGTCGAAATCTACACAGCAATTGACGAACAACCAACAAGACATCGACTCCAGCACTTTCCGGAAGAACAACAACAAGAGAGATTCTCAATGATGCAACCCAATCCCCTTGATGTGCTCTGCGGCAAGTCCAGAACATGTGTCAACTCTCCTGGAAGCATTCGCTTCCGCAGTATCATCGACGCTTATGCCGATCAGTATGCTAAAGCCACAAGCAAAGTCGAGAAAATGAATATCACAAAGCAAATCTACGATGAAGTTTCCGAAACGTCTCGATTTCTCAAGTTCAATGAGGTTGATCAAACTTGGGAAGAGATCAGCACCATGGCAGCAAGAGACAAAGTCTCTCATGCTCTCCGCTTCGCCACTAGAGCAACCCGACGGGTAAAACAGACCACCACCAAACGGTCAACTTCTTGGTCTTCCGCATCATCCTCCGAAAGCAACGGGAGGGACTCGATTGTCCAACAAATTATGCAGTCATCGGGTACAACAGTGCCATCCACTTCGCTAGAACCATCGCCTCTTTCTCCTTTGAAGACCACTGGAACCGATAAGCAAGAAAACAATCAATTTGAAATGTGCAGCGATGCAACTGTTCGAGACACGTTGCTGCTATTGCAAGAAGCACAGGCTTTGATGGCCACAACCAGCCTCCTCAATCAGTTGCCATACAACAAGATTCAACAACAAGCTAAAGAAGAAAATCTCATGGAACCGGAACCAAAGAAAGAAGCCGTGAACAACGGCGACTTGACGACTCTCCTGAGTGAGCCCATTGGCGAATGGGAGGATGCTTTTGAGGCCTCCGATGCCCGATTGTTCAAATAGAACAATAGAGCTGATATGATATAGCATATGATACTGCACGTAGTTAACATGATAGAAACGGGATTTTGATTTACCATCATTTTGCATTTTGTTAGAATAGTAGCCGAGTTTGTTGCACATTGAAAGCGCATCTTAATTGCCAGCAAGCAGAGCTAATGTATCCGAGTGGATTGTCCCACGGTAGAGCGCTGTGCTTTTAGTCTAAAACTTCTGGGGCCAGCACCTCTACGCACCAAAAGCCGCACCCATTCTGTTCAGGGCGGCGACCTAACGTAAACCCCATTCTGGCTTCTGGCTATCGGTAGCACTCTCAGCGCCTATGAAAGGAAGACCACAAGACACAAGGTAGCCAGCTACCAGCCAGCATTTACTACTAGCTAGTACAGTAGGATGGCGTGGATACGCCTCAAATCTTTTTTTCGGTGAAAGCCAGCCATTCGATCGCGTCACGGTTTTCGACCCCCGACACGCTGACCATTCATTCACACACAAAGCCGTTTCGGCATCGAAGTCAGTACCGTTCTTAGAGATCGAGTTACTTTAGCGAGCAATGAGCAATCAAATCGAGTAATGTTCGATTCGATTCAACGAAATCGAATGATTAGATTGAATCATTCAGCCGAATAGAATAGAATAGAATCGAATTTTGCAGCACCGGACCGAATTGGGGGCGAGGTCTAGTAGCTACCAGGTATGGTACGGTACTAGCTAGCTAGAGAGCCATTCGCGAGGTTGATACCTGGTAGGGGGGTACGGTACCAGTACATGTAGTGGTACCGGTACATTAGCAAGCCCGCAACCAAGCTGCAACATGCCATCTACCATGCAGTCAACTCCGGGAGGTAGCCCCATCAGCAGTTCCGCATCTTATTCTTGGGGGAAGTGCGGGGAAAGAGTGCAACCATCATCAGAGATGGAAGAAACGGCAAATGAGATGTCATTTGGCGCACCATGTATGTAGAGCTCAAGATGAAGCAATCTAAAATGCCGGGTGGCCGATGCTGTCCACCAAGGACAAGGCTTCGAAATTTTTGACAGTCGTCCTGCATTTGGCTTTAAAACCCCCTGCCGAAGGCCTGTGCGCACCAGCCAGCGACAGTTGTCATACGCTGTATCGTGCGGGAGTCACGGTCCTAATACGTTGTCATTTGTTTTTTGAAGATCCTTAGATCCTTCTCATACCAATGTTCCTGTGTGACGTTTTTCAAAGAGCAATGACGATGACGTGGTATTATGAGTTTTCCTCTTTGAACTTGCAGTGACGTGGTCGTACAACGCCAGGGCCACATTTCCCGTCGAACAACGCGTCCAAGCACAAGGATTGGCACGGATTGCTTTCCCAACGTCGGAGATTGGCTCGTCTCCACTCTCCAAGAGGCTTCTTTCTCTGGGCAATACACGCACTGGTACACCGTGGAGACAGATTGGCTGTAGATATTTGACGAGTGTTTCACTTCTCTTCACAAGTTTGGTTGTTTTTCCCTTCGAGCAAAAACCCAACTGACAACTTTCACCGTGTGGAATCTTCCGTTCCCTTCGCCGCCAAACACTTTTCGTTTGTCCTTCTTTGCCTTGATCATTACTTTGCCTCCACATCATGTGCATTTTGCCTGCATCCGACGAAGTCAAAGAGGTCCACAGCGATCCAAAAGGTGCTGTCGACGACGCTGAGAGCCCTGAACCTTCCTCCTTCCAGGACGAATGCACTAAGCTTGACCTTGACGGTGCTGCAAGTGTCGTCATGAGCGAAGAGGACTATGGCGACAACGGTGTCTCTGCCGCCGACGAGAAAGGTCCCGCCTTAGCCGCGCAGGAAACTAGATTGGTCAACTTGTCCAAACTCTTGGTGGCTTTCGTGATTACTGTTCTTGCCTTCTTGATTGGTATCGTCACTCGTTCCTTTCTAGTCTCGGAAGAACAGAGCCAACATAAAGAACAGGTGAGGTGATAGTTCAGTCTTGCCAACTGTATGCCGCACATAGCTGTTGCACTGTGTGTCGGGGCGCGATAGTTCGTTATGCTTTCCCGCGAGCTTCTCACCAGTGGTTTCTCTCGGTCAGTTCAATGCCATTGCAGATGAAATCATCAGCATCACTCACATCAGATCCAAAAGTGTATTTGATAACCTCGAGTCTGTGGGTGTTAGTTTGACAGCCCAAGCTCGAGCGGTCAATGCTCAATGGCCGTTTGTCTACTTTGCAGGTAAGCAATGAAGAACTGGACTAAATGGGCAGCTCAGAGCCTGCCACTGGCTCTCACGCACTCTCTACTGCAACTACTTCACAGACTTTCAAGTGCAAGGAATGATCTCCAACCAGATCACCGGAGCCAACACTCTGACAATCCATCCACTTGTCCAAGATCAAGACAGGGAAGAATGGGAACAGTTCTCGGTAGACAACCAAGGTTGGATCGAGGATGCGCATGGATATGACGAACACGTGCATCCAGTCCTGTACAAGAGAGACTTCTTCAACGATACCGCTGACGACGACGGCCGCTTGAGTAGTCCAGGAATAGGCTCCCTCGAGATTAACCCCAGCATTTGGACCATTGATGACAACGGGAATACGCAAGATGTAACCTCCAGCTCTTCCAAAGTTTATTCTCCCTTTTGGCAACGAGCACCTGCCGTCGACTTTTCTCCTTCTGTCAATCGAGATTTGCAGAGTGTTGAGATGTTTGAAAAGGTGATTGAAGGGATGCTCGAAACTGACCATCCCGTTATGACTTCCGTCACAGACGCAGCTTTCCTCAAGGAGAAGTATGACCGTCGCTTCCCTGCAGAAGAGAAGGAGAAGCCCCATATCTACCTCCTAAGTCCCATCTATGACAGCCTCTTTGTCAATCGCACTGCCGTCGGGTTCCTCTCTGCCTTGTTCCGATTTGACAACTTCTTCGTAAACATTCTTCCTGACAAAGAGAAAGGAATCATCATTGTTTTGGATGGCAGCTGTGGGGACACGTATAGTTACCTTGTCTCCGGTCACGAGGCAGAGTTCATCGGATCAGGTGATCATGCCACTCACAACAGACACATGGCTCGGGAATTCCACATCGCGCCATTTGCATTGCTAGAAGAGACAGAAGATGAAACCTATTGCCAGTACAGTGCAAAGGTCTACCCGTCTGAAGAATGGAGCGCCAAGTTCTTTACAAACCAGCCAGTTCAATATGCCGCAGCCATCGTAGCATGCTTTGTTGTGACATCGATCGTCTTCATCCTGTACGACTGTCTCGTGCAGAAGCGCCAAGCAAAGGTGATGGATTCAGCTACAAGGACGCATGCGATCGTATCATCTTTGTATCCGTCCACAGTCCGCGATCGCTTGATGGAGGAAGTGCAAGCCAAGGAAGCCAAGACCAAAACACGAAGAAAGTTCGAGGATGACAGTGCCTCGATGTCGCTTGCTGGTTCTCCCTGTGAAACTAGTGAAACCATCTTCGGATCCAAGCCAATTGCAGATCTTTTCCCTTCCACCACAATCATGTAAGTCTCGCTGGCTCGTTTCTATTGGTATCGCTTCGCTCGTTTCTTTAATGGTCTCACTTCGCTCCAATGATCTTTCTAATTGAATCCTGCAATCTCAACTCATTCTTTCTTGTTCAACAGGTTTGGAGATTTGGTTGGTGCGTTCTCGACGGACTTGCGTTTCCTTGGGAATATTTGGTTCCTTACCCTGACATCTTGCATTGCTTCACTGGCCTCACAGGTTTCACTTCGTAAGTTCGTCAGTCGTCCTTACCAACTCTTCCTTCTGTCCGGACTCATTGGACTCGCTAACTTTCGTTCCTCGTCTTGGTCAAACATCAGATGGAGCTCCGAAAGAGACCCTTTGCAAGTGTTTACGTTACTGGAAACAATCTATCACTCGTTTGATGTCGTGGCGAAGAGGAGACGAATTTTCAAAGGTAGGAAACCCGATCCACTGGCTACCGATTCGCCTCCCATTTGCACCTATGTCTCATGCATACCCCGGATTTGATTCGATTCTCTCTCTGCAGTGGAGACAGTGAGTACAACATGTCACGAACGGGTGCGGTTAGGTTCACGTATATGCCCGGCTTACACAGCTCCAAATCAACCGTTTGCTTTCTGCCCGCTTTCTTTATGCAACAGATTGTAAGTCTACAAAGCTTCAGCCTTGCTGCGATCGTTTGCGCGACAGGCGTCACTGATTTTGACTTCTTTGTGTCCATCATCTGTTGCTGCAGGGCGATTGTTACGTAGCGGTTTGCGGTCTGCCAAGTAAGTGTCCAGGTTTCTGTTTTCTCGTCCTCTCTTTGCTCATTGCCTCACCAATCTCAACCTTGTTTCCTCTTCTGCCTCCCGTGAAAGCTCCGAGAGAGGACCACGCCGTGGCCATGGCACGATTTAGTCATGAGTGCCGCAACAGAATGAACCTTTTGGTCACTCAACTCGAACCCGTTTTAGGTGAGCATCTGGTGGGGGACGTGCCAAGCTCACCATTGATAGATGAAAGTTGGGGAGCTTACAATCGTTTTCCCCCTGAAACAATGTCAACCAGGGCCGGGTACTAGTGATTTGGCAATGAGAATTGGACTCCACAGGTAAGGGTGGTTTGCTTTGTATTCTCGATTGTAAGAAAGATACAGCTGAATCTAATCTGTCTTCACCCCGTTTACAGTGGTCCTGTGACAGCAGGTGTGCTTCGTGGAGAAAAAGGTCGATTCCAGGTAAGCTGAAGGCCTGCCTGCACGTCCGGATTGGCAACGCCTGGGGCTCGACTAACCTAAAGGCTTTTTGTTTCAATAGTTGTTTGGTGACTCTGTGAACACTGCAGCCCGCATGGAAAGGTGAGATAAAGACTTGCTACCTGAGGAGTCGTTCTAAATAAGAGCATAGTGGATCAACCAACTCACCCTTGTCAAAATGGATCCATTCTCTCTTCTTAGCAATGGTGCGAAGAACAAGATTCATCTCTCGCAAGAAACTGCAGACCTTCTGATTAAAGGAGGAAAAGAGAAATGGGTCATGGCTCGAGAAGAGAAGATCCATGCGAAAGGTGAGTCTTAACAACTTGCACTATGATTTTAGCTAGCATAACTTGAGTGCCAGGCTAATGGCTGATTGCTTTGCGCCCGAAGGCAAAGGAGAGCTTCAGACCTATTGGTTGAATGTCAAAGCAAGCGAATCAGAGGGAAGCTCCATCACAGGTGATGGCACAACAGAACGCGGGAGTGTTGTCTCTTCAACGGAGTTTGCTCCGCCCGTGAATAAACCCTGGGTTGAGGTTAAGCTGGAACGAGATGTTGAAAGTGCATAATCAACAGAGCGAGACATGGTGATGGCTTGTACATGTATTGGGAAAAGGGAACATCACTGCTGAGTGATCATGTATCTTATGCATTGTATGTCGTGAAGCATACAATCTTTCATAGGCGTGCAGATTTGGATAATGCTGCTCTATAGCCAAAAATGTATTTGTGGTGATATCTGTAGAACAGACAGAGGATTTAGACATACCGTACATTCAGTAGGAGTTCACTTTTGAATTGGCTCTGTAATGGACTCACGTAGCTAGCTAGACGAGGAAGTCCCATATTCTTTGTGGTTGGAATGGTGCACTGCAATGCATGTTGCGGGAATCAGTGTTGGTCTGAAAGAGCTTGAGCTCAGTCTCAAGAACTTGGCATACATTGCCAAAGGCATCAGCATCAGAAATCATGGTTCCTTTGCCACTGCCAAATTCTCCCAGAAGACACTTGCTGCCACCGTACTCCTCAAAACTGGCACCAACTGTCTTGATGCTGACAAGATCATTTGAATGATTGGATGGCAGCCTTCTTTTCAGCCTCAAGCTCAATGGTACACACATCCTGCTTGGAGCAAACCTTCGCGTGGGTGGCAATGTACTTGCCCAGCTTCTTCAGGGCAGCAGCATTGGAGATGCTACTCAAGATACCGGTACGTCCACCATAGACTTGGCTCCAACCTTCGAAGTGTCATGCCCCATGTGAACAGCAGCAGGCTCGGCCTCAATGAAGGAATACTCGTACCGGTAGCACCTACCGGTATGTGTCCTAATGGCTGTTTCATATCGAATGGGATCAACACTGCATCGGCACCAACCAGAATGAGAGCTTCGAAACTAGCTAGAACGCCCGTTTAGATCAGCCGTCTTGACTACCTGAAAGCAGCGGCTCTTCCTCTTGGCAGCCCGCATGGCAACTAACTTGCTTCCTACTACCAGTATGGTATGGTATCTACCGTAGCCCAGGGGGAGGGGGAAAGAAGAAGAAATCAGCTTCCCAGCTCTGGGGACGTGCTCGCAAGGGACAGCAACATCCGGAACAGTACCATATACCGTAGCCCGTACGGTACCGGTACGAGCTGCCCCACTAGAACCTGTGCCGCGGGCTCTGCTCAGCGACACACGCCTGCCCCCACGACAACCTCGGATCATCTCAACGCGACGAAAACAAACCGGTATGATACATCGAATGGGACCGGAGCACAATGCGGCGAATCGACCGAAACCAGTAGTACATGTCGTATTGGCTGCGTATCTATGCCTAGCTCGAACCTACAACGTCTAATGAGGAGCAACGACGTTTGTTCTTGCTAGACTATCGTGATCGTATCGGTACCTGCAGATGTATTGCATTCATCGTTATTGCGCCAACCAAGCAATGTCGTTGGGTGCCAAAACCGGAACAGGACGTTGGAGCATTGCTTGCGGCGCTCTGACCTTTGGGAACTCCTGTGAAGCTCCGAAAGCAAGCCAAAGATACCGAGCATCATCAACCAAGATACCGAGCATCCCACCTCTGTCCTTGCTACAGATCCGTTCCGGCGACCTAAACCGAACCATTGTTGCTTTGCATTCGGGTTGTCTTCACCAAAAATGTGAGCGGAGTCTTGTGGGGGGCACCAAACGGCAGCCGGTTGGATCCGTGTAGAAATCCTACCAGGATTATTTCGTGCCATTGGCTTTCTGAAAGCTTCGCATTCTCAATTGTCACACCCTTCTCGAGAGCATCGAGCGGAGCAAAGACTGTACTGTATCGTCCACCTACACTGCGTTTGCGCAATCATTGCTCTCTTGCTTGCTTGGAAAACCATTTATTTTCCAGTGAAGGCAACAAGGTCTGGTTGAACAGTATCCATCCATTTGCATTGCCAAGTAGCCTGTGATTTTGCCATCAGCTACCAATAACATGAAACAGCGCAGCACAGCCATTGCCCGAGGTCGGTTGGACGGAGAATTAGGAGATGCCAATCAAAAGCGTCGTCGCTTTCGAGGTGGTCGGGCCCGTCGTATTTGGCAATCTTGGGCTCTGGACAATCCGAAAGCTGCCGTGGGCGCATTGATTTTTGTGTCCTTTTGTTTGATTGGCATGAGTGTGGAACAATTCGGCAGTCGCCCTTCTAGTAGTTTGGACTTTCGACAACGCATGCGCCGTGCCAGGGCATTGATGAAACAAGCGGCGCATCGCAAGGGACAAGACGATTTTGGAGTCAAACCAGAAGAAGCAGCCGATGATGACGGCGAGGGCGACGACGATGGGGAAGAAGAAGAAGAAGAGGAGGGCGACGATCGTCGTCCACGAGGTCGTCCCGTTGCTCCCGCCCAACGCTTTCCTCGGCAATTTGATATGCGACCACGAGAACAACAACAACAACAACAACAATGGCCACCACCACGACGAGAAGAAGAAGGAGGAGAAGGTCATCGCAAACGCTATCGCAACAAAGATTTGGAAAAAATGTTGGATCAATTGGATCACGACGTGATGAACAATATCGATGGAGGAGTGCGCTGGGGTGCTCCGTACTTGATGCTCCCTCCTCTCTCAAACCTGGCCAATGGACGACAATTGCAGTCTCAAAATGACGACGAAGAAATGACGAGAGGCAAACGCCGTACCGATGCCGTCAATCCCAAACAGGTCGACACAAAGTCCAATTTCTTTGTCACCAAACGCAAATACCAGGCGGGAATGAAATGGGAAGAGGAATACAACAGCCTCAAACCTGACGACATGAAACCACCGGTCGACTATGTCACTCATGCCTACGAATACCCACCAGTACCAAAAGAACTCCCCAGTGTCAAGGGCGGGCCCAATGGAGAATATCCTGCCTATCCACAACTACAAACCATGGGAGAAATGATGAAAAATTGGCCACAAGACCAGGACTTTCCCGGGGCTCACGAACGGCCCATCAAAGAATCCCTCATTCGATTCAATTTTTCCAATCCAGCAGAACTCGCAATGGCCGAACAGTTTCGAGATGCCGAATTGCCATTCAAACTCTACGACGTGCCAGAAGTATCGGCGGCCACTCAAAAGTGGACGGACGAATACGTGGCCGAAAACTTTGACGGAGCCGGATTCTTTCGAGGACGCAAACACGGCGAGAAAGCGTCCGCACTCATGGATCGTCTCATGGGTAAAACACCCGATCATGGTCATGGACATCACAACAAGGACTACACACGCCCTCCTCCCCGGGCCAATGGACAATGCCAGGAATCGGCCAATAATTTCTTTGCCTTTTTTCAACCCAATTTGTGGGAGGTCAAGACCATGGGACTGCCACCGGTCCGTACCAATGACTGGTCCTTTGAACACTGGGCGGAACATGCCCGCTACGCCGATGCCGTGGCATTGAATGCCAGCAAACCACACTTTTACTGGCAATCCGGAGTACCGCGAGAAGAACGACACCAACCTCCGGATGATTGGGGATTTATCAGTCGCGATTTGCCATCGTTTAGTAGCCCTACCAAGACATTTTTTGTCTTTAATCCAGAATCACAAAAGGGAATTCAATGCCGATTTGGGGAACGAGGTGTGGTGGCCGCAACGCACTACGACTCGGGACGCAATATGATTGCCATGGTGACGGGTGCCAAGCGATGTAAGTTCACCATGGTTGGTTTTCTTTCAAACGAGAAACACCATCATTTCACTAACCTTGTTCTTGTTTTCTTTTTGTCTGCTGTTCTCAGACATTTTGGCACCCCCCAAGGAGTGCCCCAAGCTTGGCATTGTCCCATGGAAATTCAATTCCATCTTTCGCCATTCCCTCTTGAACTTTGGCCATATCAATTACATGAACGATACGTCTGCGGAATTGGATGACGGGGAAGAAGAGGCAGGGCACCATGGTGGTCCATCGGAACCACGCCGTGAACGCCGACGTGCGCCACCCCAGAAATGGAAAGGCGATCACATGTCGCGAGTAGAACGAGAGTGGATGGAAATTGCTTCCTCGTCCAAAGCATTGGAGACAGTGCTCAAAGCAGGAGAAGTCTTGTACCTTCCGTCTCATTGGTTCCATTACATTGTCAGCATACAAAAGTCGGCTCAATGCAACGTGAGAAGCGGTGTCGACAATGAAGGCACTCCGGGCTTTGGCGGGTTAATCGATGTCAAGACTTGTGGGCGCTTGACACCCGCAGAGGCGGGTCTGCGGCCAGTGAGTCCCTTTTGAAGTTAGTTTCTTTGGACACGCTCTATTGTTGTAGTGTTGCGCACTGTACCGTACCGGTATGCACACTTGTAGCAGTAAATACATGTATCTAGAAAACCAAATCCTTCTCCTTCTTGCTGGCCACCTACAATACCTGGTAGTTACATCTGAAGGTTCTGGGTGCCATCGCACTTTAGGAGCAGCAGAAAGTGCCTTTGTTGGGCCTGGTGATCGATAACCATCCAGCCCAATCCCCCCTCGTCGTGCAGTTCCACTGCTTGGTTCACGATTTGTCATTCCGAAGTTTCGTTCGGGCCAGGAGTCCTGGCCATGGCCGGTTATTGGGTCTGGTGGTCTATCTTCGCGTTGGTGTTGCACCAAGCTAGCTAGAAAGCAGATGAGTGCATGACAAGCAGTCATGTTATGAAATATTGTTTGAATTACGAGAAAGCAACTTTTTTGTAGAACAGCGTACACGATACTTTTGCTTCAGCCGGCATTCTCTTATTCTTTACTCTTTTTCCACTTGTAGAATCAACTTTCCTTTGGCACGAGACATACTGGCATGGACCAAATCCTGCAGGCCCTTCTGCGTCAATTCAAACTGTTGTTCAGCCAACAAAGCCTTGACATGTCCACCTTCTACAAGTTCTGTGATTTGAGCCATGTCTTTGCCAACTCCTGCAAATTTGGTGTCAGTTACAATGAAAGCATAGGGCATGCCCAATCCAACACTGCCAATGATACTTCGCCAAACTGCTTTAGCAAGCATGGTGAGCAAGGAGCCACCATCATCATTCAAAGTAATGAACTTTCCACCTTTCTTCTTTAGGGATTCTTTTGCAACTTGCCAGTGTTCTAGTCCACCGATGGTATCAAAAACCAAATCAAAGTCCTTTCCTTTCAAGGCATCCATCAAAGATTCTTCCTTGTAGTTGACCACAACATCAGCTCCCAAACCTTTGATAAGTTCTGTATTGCTTCCTGTGGCATACACCTCTGATGCACCCAATGCCTTTGCCATTTGAATAGCCAATGATCCAATACCACCTGTTCCACCATAGATCAAAGCTTTCTGTCCCTTTTCAAGCCTGCCATGAATCTTCAATCCTTGCAGGGCAGTCAATCCAGCCAGAGGTAGGGAGGCTGCTTCTGCAAAGGAATTGTTACAGGGCTTCTTTGATGCCACATTTTCTGGTACAATGCAATATTCTGCAAAGGATCCCTTCGTTTCAATTGCATCAGCATAGATGGCCTCACCAACCTTGAGGTCAGAACTAGTGTCCGGCCCAATTTTCAAAATTGTTCCAGCCACATCACAACCAACAGGACCTCTCTTATAGCCTGGAATTTCTCCCTTCGTAAGTTTCCAATCAACAGGATTGATTGATGCAGCATGGATCTTGACCAAGAGTTGACCTTTCTTGGGTTCTGGGATGGGAACATGATCCAAACTCAATACTTTCTTGCTCAAAGGATCTCCGTTCTTGTGCAAAATGGCAGCCTTCATGGTCTCAGTGGAGTTGATATCAGCAGCTTGTGTCATGGTGACGGTAAATGTACCTCTTGCTAATGTTGGGGGTGTAGGTTTTATGATCTTGAGTTGTCCTTCGACCACTGTTTTTCCTGCTGAGCCTACCGTATCCTACGCCCACTCGTACTTCATGATCTTTAAATGCAAAGGGCGCCCTCAATTCATCTTTTAATTCTTTTTTCATCTCATTTAACAACTGATTCACTGGGACTCAATTCATCACGACCTCGTACCTTGTACCTCGTACTTCAAGTACCAGGTACCACCTTTAAATAAATGCAAACCGTACCCGTACGATCACCGCGATCGCTGGAGTTGCTGGACTGCTGGACCAGTTACATACATAGTACATGTAAAGAGCAGAGAGTGGGGAAGTTTTCAATGGAAGGCGGCAGGGGGGTTTCGATTACAGTAAAGTCGCTTGGGTGCTCTCCAGGAAGATGGTACGGTAGCCAGGAGTGGGGCTGACAATGGTTCTGGTGTTGATCATGGAGTGGGTTCAGGAGTGAGGCCCGGCAATGGTGGAGGGGAGGAGGCCAGGAGTCGACTCTGGACGAAGGGATGGCGCTTGAGTCGTCCATGGAGTTGGCTTTTGTAGCAGTAAATACATGTATCTAGAAAACCAAATCCTGCTTTTCCTTCTTCATGCTGGCTACCGTACCTACAATAGTTACATTTGAAGGCTCTGGGAGCCGCACTTCAGGAGCAGCAGAAAGTGTTGTTTGACCTGGTGATCGATAGCCATCCAGCCCAACCCCCTCGCTGTGCAACTCCACTGCCTGTTGGTTCACGATTTGTCATTCCAAAGTTTGAGTTGGCCAGGAGTGGGTCATGGAGTCGTTCCAGTGTGAAGTGGATCAGAAGGAGGTCTGGAATGGGGCCGCCTGACTTGAACCTGGAAATAGGCTGGGTCCAGGTCCTGGAGTTGCTCCTGACCATGGCCTGGTACGACCATATTGGGTCCTCTACTGGTCTATCGTGGTGTTGCTTTGTGTTGCTGCCTGCAAGCGACATGTAGCTAGCAAACAGAGGAATCCCCGAAGGTAAAGATACTTTTGCTTCAGCTGGCGTTGTCTTCTTTCTCTTTTTCGACTTGCACTAGTACAGTACCCGTAATTACACGTAACCCTTGTACTGGTACTGTTTCTACAGGAAAGTTCAACGGGGGTTTAGAGGAGGGAAGTCACCCACGATTGAGGCACGCTCCACGAAAGTCATTATCAAAGATCGCAATCACGTATACCGGTACAACATCAAGACCACTGATCACAACAGGAAAGCGGCGATTCTATCGACGGTGTCCTTATCGCCCACCCAGACGTTGTTTGTTACTACAAGACATAGTCCCCGACCCCGCTCTCTGTCATAGAAAAGGGTTAGGCACTGCATCTGACAGACAGTAGCAGCAAGCATACTATTTAATAGCGGGAATTTTAAAGACGACCGAACGAATCGCGAGACAAGGCAATTTTTCTGTTTGCTCAGAAGACATGGAGCGGAAAATTGATTGCAAAGCCATGGCAATTTACCTTCTGCTCAGTCTATTGTCAACAACAAGAAAACTATCCCCGTCCAATCCCACACTTCAAGCCTATCCTCCGAATCGTAAGGGGTTGTTTCATTCATTCCGTCGACTGTTAACACACAGTATCATCAACACACAGTATCATCTTTAGTTTAGTCTTCAAGCGTGAATTCTACATTATTTTAACAGTGCCTTATCAGCGACAGTCACGAGTGGTTGAAAGCAGCAATCTCAACGCAACAAGCAAGAGGAACAACGGTCGCGATGGACAACTTAATACCATCATGGCAGTCCCAAGGCAGGACGCCACCACAGTACCACAATCGGGGGTGTGAAATACCTGATACCCACTTGAGAGGGATCACCCTCGAAGTACTTGAAGATTTGGCCAATTTTGTTAGTTCAGAGCTGAACTCGGGATATCACATTTCAGATGGCTACAGCCAGCAAAACGTCTCCATGGAGACCGTCAATCTTTACCATGTAAATGATCATTTTGTCAAACCACTTACGCAGAGAGACAATTGTTCATTTGTCGAATTGGCATGCAGCCAGTGCACGCCGCCTCGCTATTTTCTGAGCCATTGGTGGGGAACCCCACTGATGGATACCATTCGGATGCTCAAGCTCCATCGGGAGACATGCAAAGAGGTAGACAGGTTTGAGGACAATGCAGCCTACACCGTCTGGATCTGCACGTTTGCCAATAGGCAGCACAGTCTGGAGGAACTCTCTGCTACGGACTATCTTGACACTCCCTTTGCCAGGGCCATATTATCCGAGCAATGCAGGGGCACCGTCTTGCTTTTAAATGAACTCAATGCCACCCCATTCACCAGGTCCTGGTGCATTTTTGAGGCCTTTGTTTCTTTGACCCATGCCAAAAGCAAAGGACCAGAGCCAGCACACCACAGTCGACGACGCACAAGACCATATCGTCTCGATGCGGCAACTATCATTTCAAAGGGACAGTGTGACTCCGCAGGCGAATCAAATGAGCGCTGCGCAGGCCTCCTGATTGGCCTCACAGAATTCGACGAGAGTGGTGTATTAACAGCGGCGAACGACAATAAGCTTTCGATGGTCACGGACCACGAAATAAGCGCCAACGGAGAGAACCCTGCTGGCAGTGCCTGGTTTCCTCTTCAGGTCGCAATGACTGGGATTCGTTTGAACATTCTGCATGCAAGAGCCACTATGGAATCCGACGAACAAAACATTCGTCTTTGGGTGGGAGACAAGGCCGACGAGATCAATGCTGCCCTCCGCAAAGGATTTGTGCGACCGGCACTGAAAGCTGCCGTCTTGGCTTGCAATGTTGTCATGCTGCGCGAAATTTTTGAGAGTCAAATCATCCCCAACGAAGCATTAGTACGAATTGTAGGAGAACTAGATCTGTTGACGACTCTGCTCAGCAGCTCGTTCGTGAAGAAAGAAGAGTGCACCCCCCAGAGAGACCAAGAGGTTGCTGAATGCATCCGATGCCTCCTTTCCAATGGGTGCGACCCAAACTATCCCTATATGGGATTGGAATCTATGGTGCACCCACTGGGAGTTGCTTTGGTAACCAAGATGCATGAGAGTGCACGGGTACTGCTTGAGTTTGGAGCTGACCCCAAAAAGTTGGGGATCGTTGACTTATTGAGCGTCAGCTATAAAGACTGTCCAGATGATATCTTGGATACCCTTCGTGAGCATGGCGTTGTCATGAAAGGTAGATGCATGAGGGCTTGTTACCCGTGTTGCGTGTGTGTTTGGTTTTGCAGTTATCTGTGTGAATTAAAGGGAGCACTCTTCAGCCAGTCAAGCTAAGAATGTCAGGTCTTGCTCAAGGATCCCAATGGAATCCTCACAAGTGGACCATGCCTCATCAACGATGAAGTAGAAGTTGACAGGGGTGGCACCTGGAGCGCAAGGCATTACCCAGGGTTTTAACGCTCTCAAGCCAAAGTTGGGTTCTGGGTAATAGGGAGAGATTGAGGTTGATTTTTTGATAATCTGGGTCTAATCGCCATCTTTCATTGGGTGGAAGTGTAGCATCCCCTTTGGCGTATTCCTGCAGTACATTCTGTCGAAGATTGTGGAGCTGGGAAAGTTCAGTCAGGGTTGGTTTGGTGCCGTGGAGAGCATCGTCACGATGCTCCCACATGCGGAAGTGCATCCAAATTTCATTGATTAAGGCAGTTGCCCAATGCATATGAAGGTCCCAGTGTTGTTAGACTCCATCCGAAGGAGAAAGTTGCAGTTTTGGAAACAACCGCCAATAGGAATTTGACCCGTTTGGAGCTGGAATGATTGCTCGTTCGGTCAGGCAGCAAAATTTCGCGTATGGCTCCGTCCGTACAGGTCTGGCTGGGACCAGAGAGAGAGCTTTCTCGCATTCTATTTCTTCGCAGAGAGGAATCATCAATCATTTGATCAGAGGGAAACGTCTACTCGTTAACATCGGTGAGAAAGATTCTGGCAAAGGACAGAGTCTCACGTACTAGTACGGCTGCTGTGGTTACGAGAACGTTGTCTCTGTGTACTGTGAGTTTTGGTGGTCATCTCTTTTCATCTCTTTGTGCCCTGTGCCACGGCCAGAGAGAACGTTGGCTGCTTGTCAGCTAGTTTGCGTTCGATGGGATTCGAGCCATCTAGCTGCTGGTAGAGATGGCTACCGCTCAATACTTCTTGATTGAGGAGGAAGGTCCAATCCGATATTGCCCTGGCGTGGTACTCAGGCCCAGTCTCGCAGATATCTGTTGCGTTGCACCGTAACTAGCTGGAGTACAATCACGCTGACGGCGAAAGCAGAACGAAACGACTGACTATATCTTGTTTCTATTTTACAGTATTCCTTGTTTTCTCGTTAGCTCGGTCACTCCCACACTTGTTTCTTCTCAAAATTCCTCCGTCCTTCATTTCACACATAAAAATGTTTAGCAATCGAGTAACCAACCCCAAAAGCTATCGATAGCTTACTGTCGTTGTCTTCATTCCTTGCCTTGTATTTGCTTGATCCTGTATCGTTGTTGCGATTGGCTCGTGTGTGCGCCGAGTTTGTGTTCTTCATCGCCAATCATCAAAGTCCATGAGAGGTTCCTTCATGACGGACCACGCGTCGTCATCCACGCTAAAGCCTCGCACATGCTGCTGCTTCTCCGCGTTTACCGAATTGGTGGAGCTGTGGCTGGCTCCACTCCCAACGGGGGCAGGGGGAGGCATCCCAGCCGAACTATCAGGAGACAAGCTGATGCTGACAGTGGGAGGCACTTCTTCCTGGTCGAAAGCCGCCATGTCGAGGACATCCTGGAGAGTTTCCTCAGTGATAATGTTTTCGTCGTTCAACAAGGTGATGAGATCATCCAGGGCAGCATCATCGTTGTTGTTGCTCTCGACGGCATAGGCAATGTTCTCCAAGGCTACGGGATCGACCAGGCTGGCCACACGCTGGTGGTGGCGACTGCCCGCCTCTTCTGGAGTAGGTTCCTCCGTGGATGTCAAGTGATCGACCAAAGAGTCCCAGACTTTGGGTTCTTCCTTGACCACCTCGACAACAGAGGCCACCAGCTCCGCCTTGGTCCGTTTGGCGGCCGCGGATGTCGAAGCCGTAGTAGCAGAGCAGGACGAAAAGGATCCCTGGCGGCGGAGACCCTTGCGGACTTTCTTGCCTTTGGAGCCCTTGGGAGCGTTCGAGTTGGCAAAGCGGAGAGCGTGGCCAATTTTATCGCGTCCTTGAAGTGGAGTGATCTGGAGCGGAGCATTAGCGAAGGGAGAAGTGTTAGTCTCCGCTGACCAGAGGACAAAGAAACATGTCGTCATGACGGACTGCTACTGCTGCTCACCTCTTCCCAGAGCTTCTCCTTGTCGTTGAACTTCAAAAACCGCGACTCTTGACTGAGAAGAGTGTAAATCTCCTTGCTGCAAAAAACAACAACAATCGACGAAAAAACCGCAGGTGGTCAGCTGGTGCCCTTCCTTCAGTAGAAAGACACAGCAAAAGTCCAACCAAAAGAAGTCTTACGTCAACTGCATCTTGTCATACTTCGTCACCGCTTTCTGGTATGTGGTGCGGTACTGGTCGATGACAGCGCGAAAGTGTTGCGAGCCCTTGTGAAGAGCACAGGCGCGGTCCTTGCCGCAGAGAATGTCTATCCACCGACAGTTAACAACAAAGAGGGACGAATTGGTTTAGAAGAAGAAGGTCGATCAAAGTTTTGGTCCAACGCGTGTCAGCCAACAGGGCGACGGCCGGAGCGCCATTGTCGCGATTTGTTTGTTAATTTTTCTTACCATTTTCTCCTGGTGACTTGAGTTTCACCGGATTGTCATGCGGTTGAGAGCGTCGACTTTTCTTGATACCAGGCATCGTTTCTTTGAACAAGAGTGGGTGTTACGAAGGAAGAGAGTGTTACTACTGTGGTGGTGTACGACGAGACCGCTATGGTCCGACGACGAAGCCCGAAAGAGGCCAATGGGTGTGGATTTGCAAAGGAGGCGATTTTTTGAGAGGAGAGTTTTTGAAGCAGCGTTGATCTGCTTTGCTTTGGGAATATCGCTTGGTCTGCTCACAAGTAGAAAATGTACTGTAGCACGTGTAGTCACTACTCCAGTCATCATCACCAAGCAGGGATCGGAGACGAACGGACTTTGCAGTTTTGACAAGAAGCAGGATCAGTACATTTCCTACGTAGAGCCGGCAGAGCTCACGGGTGGACTGGCAACAGCGTTGTTCTTCAGACGGAATCCAAGTGGAACTCGGAAAATTGTTTCCAGAAGAACTTTTCAAACTCCTCTCTCCAAAGGTTCCCCGAAATAAGGATTTGACGTAAGGGTACCTATTACCCCTAAGTAGAAACCCTAGCTTGACGGGAATCGGGTTCAACGTTCACGGGCACGAACCCTAAGGTGTCCTCTGCTTTCCCAAGACATCTTACACGTGCCCGGAAGTGTCTATTTGTTCCTCTTTGATCCTTCCCAAGTGTCGCAACTGTAAAAATGCTTTGGTGTGCTGGATCCTCCAAGCACGGTAGAGAGAGCTGGAAACTTTGTCAGCCCCTCTACCGGCACCTGGTAGTAGCCCTCGCTCTGACAACAACTTTATGTACAGGAAGACGCTTTTCTGCAACAGCCGATTGCATGAACATTACTTTCAGACTGTAGACTACTAGGCTAAAGGATTATTTCAGAGGACGCTTCCATGGCAGTTTTGCTTCTTTTTAAGTTCGCTGTTGACATAATTGCTAGTATTTTACTCATGCAACAACAAAATGGCTACTGCCTGGAGTGAGCTTTTCGCATTTGATGGCTGCTTCATAGTTGTCGGTGAATAAATATGTACTCTTGAGCAGGCAGCAGCCTTTTGCCTTTCGGCGTGGGTCGCTCGCTTCTAAGGACAATCCTTCATTCCACAGGTTATTGAATGATTGAATCATTCGATTCAATCGAATCAATTTTGTTTCTGAACACTTGCGGGCGTGGGAACGGTGGCCGCTGTACGGAAGAGTACGTGTACGTACAGCTTTTAGAACTCTTTCGGTTTCGTCCAATGTCATCTAAACGGGAGCTCTCTGCGTCACACACATCCAGCGCAAACCTGTGGAAGAGAACCCAGCCTCTCAGAAAGAAAGTCGCACAGAGGCACGATGGCGCAAATTGTCAAATAAGTGTGTGTGTTTCATCGTCAGAAGAATCAAAATGGACTGGTTCGAAGGTCTATCCCGATGACAGGGGCTTCCAATGATCAATGAAAGCATGAAGTAGAACATTCTGCCGGATCATATTTCCAGCCATTGATATCATTTGTGGATTGAAGTTGTTGATTTTCAGTGCGTCGCCACAGGTTCCTGCAGATACTGGAGCTCAAACAGAGAAGGAGCGAGACAAGCAGAGCGCAAATAGCTCGAGAGCTTTACCCATCATCGCACCAAGCATTCTTTGAGTGCAGCAGATATCTTCGATTGCTAAAAGGCACAGGATCCACCTCTCGTATCCGTTGTTGTACCAAACCTCGTTACAACACTGATAACTCTCTCTGATGCCTCGCCATCGTCTTCGTAGTGTAGTGTAGTAGCTCCAACCCCAGCTCGAGTTTAGCGTAGAATAATATCATTTCAGCAGTAGCCGGTCTTACATGTGGTGGCAATGGGGCTCTGGGAGGCTCTGCCCTTTTGGGCATCCGGTGATACCAGTACCCAACCTCACATTGTCACCGGTGGAAAGTAAATCAACCGACCATAGCTTAAAGTCGTCACACCCACTCAAGAGGTCAGTGTGGCCGGTGGCCAGACTTGAATGTGCGAAACGCCTGGGCCTTGGCTCTGGGGTCGTCCTCAAGCACTTCACTTTTTGTCTGAATCTGCTAATAGATGTTGAGTTTGTTGCTGTTGTTGAGTGCAGCAGAGCAGATTTCGAGCTAATCCTGCCGCCCAGTCCGTTTTCACTACTTGAGAGGGAACGTGTTCGTGACCTTCCTGATTGCTTCGATTCAAAGTTTCGTTCAAAAACGCATTGTGCGCCTCTAAGCCAGTTTCATTGCAGCCACCATTCACTGCAGCCATCTCTCTACAGATACTAGTACTGCGAGTGCAAGTTGTTGACCTTTGCGGGGAGAACGGCGTCGACAGTGGACCTCCCAGGGCTACCGCGAACCTCTGGGGCCTGGGCTACTTTTGCAAGTTGTCGACGCACTCTGTCGTACGGTTTACGTAATACGGTACATCACTGCAGCATCGGTAAAACCAGGCTACATGCACGGGGCGAGGGGTTCACCAGCTTCTCAAAGGTGGTCGACTCTCTTTTGATATTATCATCATTGGCAAAACACCCATTCAATCATTGCTGCTTCTGCTTTTGTGGGCTTCTTGTGGTCTTGTGGTCTTCCTTTCATAGGCGCTGAGAGTGCTACGGCTGTACCAGGTACCACGGAGTAGCAACGGTAGACTACCAGCAAAAGTTCCTTCCGCAAAAGCTCAGCTTCCGCAAAAGGTCGCAAGAGTGACTCGACTGAAATTCGACTCAAACGACTACCGCTCCGTATCTCATGTTTCTCAAGCTCAACAAGGTCTAACTTACTTTTGTGCAAGATAGGTTTATGTTCATTTTATTTCTAAAGGACTTTGGTAGCTCTCCAAGTCCGGTACCGGTATGGTTCATAGTATGCATATGTGCAAGATAGGATATGTGCAGGCTTGGAACTTGGAGGGCAAGTAGTAAGCCGATACAGCGGTATGTGCAGGTACTGGAATTTGTTCATACATGCATGGACTGTACAGTATTGTTTCGTTGGCGTTTCGAGTGCATCGAACAGGAGGTTGTAAGATCGGCGTATTTCACAGAAGAGAAGATCGATGCCGTTGAGTAGCTGTGCAAATGGTATGTTCAATCAAAAGGGGGTTGGGGCGGGTGCGTCTGACAAATCAAGCATCGAAAAGGGTGTCCATCCAAGAGTTATCGTCCACTCCTGATACCGTAGCCATGGCAACACCGTCGCTTTCCGCAGGAGACAAGAGAGCACTAGCGAAAGCGCTTTCGTTGGTCTTTGGAGTCACTTGGTGATTGCGGTTGATGTAGTCTGAAAGCACATCTTGGATGGACATGGATGGGTCATCAGACACAAGCGCAGACAAGTCCGCGATGTCCGCTTCCAGGTCGTCGTCGTCAGCTTGCAACTTGTGGTCGTCAAGAACCTGCATCTTGCCTCCGGGGGCCTCACTCACAACAAAGTTTTGCTGTAGGAAGGGGGCAACTGCGTTGCTTGTTGGCAAAAGCACCATACCCGTGTTGTGGATTGGAGCCATATTGGTTGCCAGCACCAGCCGAACGCACGCGATAGTGATAGTTGGTTGGGCAACGCAGCCTTCTTCCCGCTCCTGCTCCGACGATTTGACCACGTCTTGGCCCTTGTTGTCCTCACAGGAGCCATCTTCATTGTTGAGCACAGCAGCAAGAGATGGAGCGACTTCCTTGGCAAACTTGCCCTTCTTCCTTCTCGCAGAACTGAATCGAAGCGCATGACCAATCTTATCTCTGGCTACACTATGCGCGAGTTCTTGCCATCCCCCCGCTACCTTGTTGTACTTGAGAAAACGAGATGTTTGACTAATCTCAATGTAGATGTCACGGGTGAGCTCCGTCTTGGAAAACTTGCCCTCGGATCGATCATACCGATCAGCGTAAGATTCAATTACTTTTCGAAACCGGATGCTCCCGGGGTGGACCAAGCACTCTCTTGTTTTGCCACTTTGGTACGTAATTCAACATAGGACAGGGAGCATAGATGTCAGATACGGCACGAACCGAGAAATGATAGATAGAGGGGTTATCCACTAACTTACCACAGGACTATGGAGGCAAGTCAACGCAATTGGTGTAAACGGGCAAGTGAAAGAAAAGAGACAGACGCACGAGTGTCAGAACTGCAAGTGCAAGGATTCAGCCGTTCCGTATCTACGCAGAGTGCTTTACTGGTCCCTTACCATCCAATGGACGCGGCTCTACAAGGCTTCCCGCAGAATGTCTCGTCATGGTGAGGATCGATTTGCTTGGAATACACTACCAGTAAAAGCAGAACCTTGCCTTTTTGTGGGAGTTTTTGTGCGTGTGGTGTGTGGTGGGAAGGGTGTTGGCGTGTTTCTGAGCTAATCCAAACCGCCAGGGACCGCGATCAGCAAAATTGCTTACCGGTGGTGGTAGAAGTGCATGGAGGTACGCGAGGTATGTACATACCGTACGGAAGTTGAGAGCTTTTCTCCAAACTAGACATCATCTATCCAGACCCAGTTAGTTGCAACAGCCCGAAGCCCGAAGGCCTCAGCTCGATGTCAGTAATGCGAATGCGAATACTCTGGTGGAGTATTTCTCTTGCTGTCCTCTTCTGGCCTCAAGCCTCAATCGCAGCAGGGCTTTCTAATCAATTATACAAAGTACTAAGCAAATTACAACGAACGTTAAATGACAAAAAGGAAAAAGTGAGTATGTAATAGAGGGCAGTACACTATGACAGCTTGTAGGAATCAAGACATTCTGTTTGGGATTCCTTCAGCCTTGGCGCTTGGGGCCTAATCACGAATAATATTTCCCTTATACCTAAAGACGCGAGCCACTATTGCTGTTGTAAAAGCGCCCCTTCTCATGACTACTCTCCTACCTCATAGATAAGATAACTCTATTCTATTCCTGGATGCTGGAAATATCTTAGAGGATTCATCAATAGCCACACTGAGTCATTATCTGACAAGCAGCCCAATCTCAGTATCTTTCATATCTTATAGGCACTAGCAGCTATTGTCACATATCCTACCACTAACCACGCCCTCAAACACTGAGGAGCCACCACCAAAGCCTAAGAAGGCAAAGGCACAAACCTAAAATTGATGAAACCAGAGATGTTGTGGTAGAGGAGGCATCCCAAGATGGGGATATGGAGGACTTGGATGTAGATGGAGATCTGGAAGATAGTGGATACTAGCTGCCATCACTACCTGCATAGTTGTAGTATTAGCTTAGGATTTGAGACATTGGTACTCATCGCTCATCTTACTTGTTTGGGAAATCTGAGTGTCCAGATTATCTTACCATTCCTGGGGTTCAGAACTGGTGAAACTGTACCTGAATCTACGTACATTAGTGCGTGAAACTAGTAGTTTCACGTACGACTAAGCATAGTTTCACGCAAAACTAGTACTAGTTTCAGGTGACTTGAAACTTAGCTTCATGCAGCTTTCTTGCGTGAAACTATAGTCTTAGTTTCACGCAACCCATGGTTAGTTTCGTGCGAGATTTACTCGTGATTACTACGGATAGATCCACAGTTTGATGCACGACTGAGCTAGTTTCGCACAAGAAACTAGTACTAGTTTCATGTGACTTGAAACTTAGTTTCACGCAGCTTTCTTGCGTGAAACTTTATGTCAATTTGAGTACTGCGCATCTTTTAAAAACCCACTTATCTTAAGTGGGAGTGAGGAGTGTAACCAAATTCATCAAGGAAGTTGGGGAATTGCATTGTTCCAGAGAATCCACCAAGCTCCAGAAGGGCTGGATTTTTAGAGAAACCAAGCCTTCAGACTTCAGACATATTAGTACCGGTACCATAAGTGTCCCATACCTCAGTGGTAAGTGCGTGCAATGTCTAGCTAGCTAGTTAGATCTTTAGTAGTTGACACGAAAAGACTCGACTCGACTCGTCACTCTGGCTGGATCAGATAGAGCGCTGCTACGTACAGTCGTACTCTTGAGTAGTAACTACTCCGTACTCCATACCGGTACTCCACAGTCAATATTAATAGTCGTAATTTACACGGGGGCTCTCCGTTGTTGTGTTACTAGTACATGTAGCAACATTTACATACTTATACTGTACATGTACTGCCCCTGGTCTTCAGATGCCCCAAGACAACTTTGGAGTTTAGGTAGTTGCGGTAAATAATACGTGTTATACAAAAATGCAGAGTAAAACTTAACTATAACCCTATATTTACCGCAACTACCCTTCTAAACCTGTTTTCCAGAACATCACACACGTCGTCGAGTCGTTGAGTTGCAATCATGACAGTATCATTAAACATTAAAAAATCATTATAAATCTTTTTCCTCGAGTAGAGACACCGGAAAAGATCATCTCTGAAGATCTTGATCTTTGTGAGGAGGCTATACAGTGTAGGGCAATAGCGGGCAATTTTACTAGTAGTAGAGTGTTTTCATCAGGAATAGAACTGAAACCTATCACAGCTAGCTAGCTAGCTAGAAGCTAACATACGAGTAGAAATTTAAGATGAAACGGAGCCGACAACTACTTCCGCACGCAAAGAGAGCTACATCGCTTGATCACCGTTGGCCGGCCTGCTAAATAAGGGGCTACTCGAGTAGCTACCACGAAACGCTGGCTAGCTGCCGGTGGCTCTAGATCGAGAGTCTAGCTAGCTATTAGCAGAGTGCAGAGTGCTAGCTAGCAGCAGTTGCTCCAACGTGGATTTCGGATTCGTATTCTCACTGCACCAATTTTTAAAGGCTTTTGCGTCCCTCACAAAATCAATCCACCCAGCTGCAGCGAGACAGGCCTCTGGCTTGGGTGGGGAGTGGGGAAGAGTACGCGTATTAGTACTAGTAACTAGGAGACCACAAAGAGACAAAGAGTGCAAAGAGTCCCAGCAATTCAGTGTTGAGTGATGAGAGCCTCCAGAGCGACAAAGAACAAAGAACAACTCCAAGCCAGGAAAGTTTAATATTATTATCTCTTACAGTACTGGATACTGATTTTTCGGGAGAACGAGGGTGCTTTTTGTGGAAGGGCAGAAGGGCAGTAGACATTTTTCGACATTTCCTGACATGACCGTCTCTTCAGAAGAACAACAAGCCGTTACAAGCGAAATGAATGTGAGCTCTGTCAGCTCCTCTCTCCCGCCTGGCGGGTACGTACTGGTACGATGTACCCCCACCGCAAAAGGTGGTCTTTTTGGCCTGTCGATGCAAGCACGACGTCATCCATTCGGTGGAGAATAAGCCAATGTGAGCCTTGGGTCGGTATTGTGTGTTCAATCTTGGCAGATGCTGGGTTGTATGTGAACGCCTGAATACAGTACCATGGTACCAGTACTACTAGTACCGGTATAGACCAGACCACCAGGAGCGTTCCTCAATGGTGCCAAATCCTACCCAAAAATTGGATTTAGTAGGGTAGCATTTAGAGCATTGGAGGACGTTTGATAGGGTCTACATAGCCAGGAGAAGGAAACCAAAAGTAGGAAACAAAATTTTGGGCTTGGCCCTGTCGGAAACTTATCCAATCGCTCGACGGGCGATGCTATGTCACTCTAGCAGGTACTGATAGGACTTATAACGACGAGCTAAATGGTTCAAGTTGCGCTGAGTTGTTATGGTTCCACTCTCAAGCAGCAATGTAGTTAAGGCTTCTGGTCTCGAGATTTTGCTTCTAGATGGGAATCTATTTCCCTACTACTAGCTAGTACTTCAGCCAAATTGGCCAGCAGGTAGCTCTATTTGAACCCTCCAACCTCCAACCACCGGCCCAGTATTGTACACGTTCTTGAGATTCGAGAAGACTGAAGCAAAACGGGACGGAGCACGGGAGTCGAAAGGTGCATTGCGTGCTTCCGTCAAGTCGACCAAAGAGTGTTACGGCAGTCCTTCATGGTTCGCCGATCCTTCTTGTCCTTTCGTGTTGTAATCAGTATTTTCACGTCATTTCAGAAGAGAAGGGCATCTTTTTCTCTGCTGGTAAGTCGCAACAGGTACTGTCTACAGCCTTACTGCAGGTAGGGAACATTCGAGTTCGTTTTCGAACCCAAACACCAAATTTGAGAACTTTTAGCGCTGAGCTTTCAAGATGACTGCTCTTGCTACGATGAAACAATTTGCGTCGTTCTTGCCCCTCTTACAGTTGGGCTTTACCCTTCCGCAATGCAATGGTGACGTTGACTTTACATCAGGTTCTCCGCCCACTGATTGGCTTGAGAGGACCGAGATTTGATGTCAAGGGCATGACAACCGAGGAAAGCAACTTGACATTTCCTTGGTTTGTCTTCAACAAGTTTGATGAAGCTCGTGGCTCGTGGCTGTGGTGGCACTTTGATTCACAAGGACATAATCTTGTCCGCTGCCCATTGCTACCTCGTCTTTAGCTTCAATGGAGCCTATGTAGGAGGATCTACAGACTATGGGTTCAATGGTACCTTCCATGAAGATGATACGGTCATGGTACACTCCAAGTTTGATAAAGAAACATTCAAAAATGACCTACTGTTGGTCAAACTTCAGACACCAAGTGATGAGCCCACGGTGAAGACTACTATTGGCAGATGTAAAAACCCATCTTTGATGCTCAAGTGTGCGCCATGGGCAGCGCTGACGCAATCACTCAAAGATGCATGTCAAAGTGACTCGGGGGGGGGGGGGGGCGATGCTACCGGTACGACAAAGCATAGACGGCGATTGGGAGCAAGTTGGTGTTATTAGCTTTAGTTATGGATGCGGCGGGCCCAATTTCCCTGCCGTCTATGTCCTACTGAGTGCATACAAGGACTGGATCCAACAGGGGATTTGTGAACTGTCGTCAGATCCACCAGCATGGTGCGATAGAAGGTACCACGCAAGCTCAACCACAGTTCCATCTCCTGGTGAGCAATCGGTTTCAATGGAAGCTGCCGGCAGCACCTCCATTTATGGATCCGCCCCTTCATCCTCATATGGTCTTGGCAGCAACAATGGCTGCATTCGGGGTGCCGAGCCAACAAGAGCTCCGCTAGAAGATTTGTCAAGCTTTCCAGGTTTACAGACCAGTTCCACAACCAAAGCCGTCTCGCTCAAATGGTTGCCTGTATCAGGCGTGGTAATCTTGGTGATGCCCTTGCTCTTGTTCTAACTTTGCTGCGTTGCAGCCGCGTACTAATCCAATGAAACGAACAACAAAGAGATCAGAACTCTAGAGTAGAGTATGATGCAATGACAACGTGAAGAAGAAGAAACAAACACCGTACAGCCATTGATGTTACATCAAAATAAAAACCTGAAAGCGCAGTTGGCCTTGCCTATGCGGCTACCGTGATGCAGTCATGAAGGAGCAGAGCCCCTGATTGTCATTTACATGCCAGTATCTATCTATACGTGTAGACAGAAGCGCTTGTTTTACCACCATTCTTGATCTTTTCTTTCTGGGAAGCACAACCCACCACATCAACCTCCACACTGCAGATCATGGCGGCGGATCATGCAGCAGGGATATCATCTGTGCTATCGGTATTGGAGAAGATCGTACTTTACGGGCGGGCTATACAAACATTCCAATCCGAGATAGGCAACCAGCAGGATGCTGCGTTTATGTTCTCTTCGAGTCTCACTTCATTGTCATGTTGTGTGCAATAGCCCCGCAGGTTCGAATAGAAAGTCGTGAGACTTGAGTCACTTGCATACCTCCTAGTTGCCTGACGTGCAAATGCAACCTCAGAGAGGCACCGGCACTCACGCATTGGCAGTGCTAGCTAGTATCATAGGAATGCATATCGGTACCGGTGGATACACGTTCTGAGGGACCTTCCCGTTTCTGGACTTCACAGACGACCTGTACGAAGAGGTGTTGTCGTTCACCTTTGCCTCCCCGAGTACGGTATGTCTGACTCGATGCAGGTTGGGCGACTACTTGGTGATGTTGATTCTAGACACGGTTTCGAAGCTTTGATCGAGGAAACAGGTGATGGCCAGCCCCGACATCGGAGCTGGCTTACATGGCCACTACCAGTTACCGCTGTCACTCGTAATGGCTCCAGTCTACTGAAAGCTAGCTCGTACGTAAAACGTGTCAGGTTCGGTGAGACGGTGGCACAGATAGCATGCAACGTGTAGCGGTAGGGAACAAGTATCTTAGTGTCCAAAGAAGATCAAAGGACGTAGTAATAGATAAGAAGATGGATCGCATGCAATGAGAAGGATGGGAGACCGTCTTCGTGGTTGCACCGAGCACGCTCGCTACAACGATGCTCATCAGCCCCCCGGTTGTCCATTTTGATTGAATAGGAGCGACAAACACTGCGACAACACAGTTTCCGCCTGTTGCTGCTGCGACACCCCCCCCAGTTGAGCGGCGCCTTGTGGTGCAGCTGCGTGGGCGGCACTGCCGTTGTTAGTAGCCGCGGTCGCACCAGACTGTGTAGACGATGATACGAAGGGAGGTATTCGTTGTTGGTGTGGAGCTTGTTGGATAGGTTGCTGGAGCCCTCCTCCGCCCAGCCCTTGAAGGAGACTTAAGAAAGGATTATTAACGTCCACGGCGAGATTCCCAGACACCGCAGGACTTGGAGTGATGCTGTTGCCTGCTGCACCCATGTTGCTTTGCGGGGCCGTTTGAGTTGCTTGACTAAAGCCTGCATTGGCAACGATTGGTTGTCCAGGATTGCTGGTGGGATTCTGCTGAAACGCGAGCGTTTGATTCGAAACTGTTGATGTCGCGGTACTGACGATACTAGGCTGGGTTGGTTGCTGTTGTTGCTGTTGCTGCTGAATAGCGCTCTGAAGAAACCCTAGCAAAGCCATGTTTGCCGCCGAAGGCATAGCAGCAGACGCCTGCTGTTGTTGTTGCTGTTGTTGCCGTTCTCGTTGTTCCTGCTGCTGTTGCTGCTGAAGCCTTCGTCGCTCCTTCTCCTCTAGGTACTTTTTGCCCTGTATCACCAACAGTTGCATCATTGTGCGGAGCTGATCAATTTCCGACGAGGCTGGTAGCTGGGGGTGGTTGAGGAATCGACCAGAAAACTGCAGAATTTGATTCAAAATATCATCTGGTGTCATATTATCTCCATTCGAGGACGACTGGACAGGGCCCGGAGCCGCTGGCGCGTTCATTGACGTTTGCCCTGAGACGTAGCCAGTCTGAACAGAAGAACTCACTGCTTGGGTGCGGGCACCTCCAATGACCCCCATCGCTGTCAGCTGTTGGAGCAAATTAGGCAGATCAACTTGCTGTTGGCCAGGGTTGCCGCTCTGTTGTGGTGCTGTTCCCGCGGTCGGTGTCGGTGCCGCGGCCACAGGGGATTCAGGAGGTGCTATTCGTTGTTTCTTTGCTTTCTTTGCTCCTCCATTGTCCCCTTCTTCAGCAGTGTGCCTCGTGTAGACATCTTGCACATCTGAATCCATCCTCATCTGGAAGCAAACAAGAACGACATGCAGTTAGTTAGCGGATTCGTTCCAGCAATAGCCTTCATATGGTGTTGATATTCTAGTAGATTACCTGAAGCATGAGATGTGGTGCATCCCGTTGGAAGAGACTGCAGTGATATACTTTGACTCCTTCTCGCACAGCGTACTGGCTGGTCCGGCTGAATCCCCTGTGACACCAAAGGAAGACGACCGAATAAGTACGCCAGAACTCTACATAACCGGCCCGCATGCACACAAGTCGAGCCTGATAGCTGCTGCTTACCATCGATTGCAATTTCGGATAAAGGCGTTGTAGTCCTTGGTCTTGAAATGTGCCTCGAGCAAATTTCCTTTCTTAAGTTTTTTGGCGTCGAACGCAACCGCGTGGCCTTCGCCGACCCACCAAAATGTATCTGGAGCAACATCATTGAGGAGCACTCGCATCAGTCTGTCGGCAAAGTTCTATTGTTGCAGCAAAAGAGAAATAAATGGCAATATCGTTAGTCGAAGCAGCACAAGCAAAGCGCTATCTAGAGAGCGTCCAACGAGGCCTCCAAACCATGACACCTCGACGGTGCTCGTGTAGCCAGCTTGGCAACAAGGATACCACAAAGGGTAGACATCCGCTGCTGATCACAGAGAACTCATGTGTTTTATTGTAGGAAGCGAGTGACTTGACTCTACTAGAGTGCCTGACTGTCACTCCATCCTTAATTTTAAAAGATCTCCTTCATGATCATGAAGGAGTCAAAGAGCCAATTGCACGGGCATCTTTCTGATCAGCAGTTGTGACGTTGTGACCCGGCCCCTGCTGATATCCTTGGTGGAATACTAGTAACACACGCCAGCCTCATCTTGTCTCACCTTGGGTTTCCGTGTTGGTAGCAGAAAAGGTGGGAGGTTATGGCTATCCTTGTCGGGTGAGGCCGCTGCAGCAACCTGAGGTTGTGTATTAGTAGTTGCCATGGTCGGACTTTGAGCTTTCGAACCGACGTTGTTCGGAGAGGTCACCAACAGGCTCCCTCCTGGAGCGGGAGGAGGGGGGCGAGCTGCGGGAGCGGGGACCTGAGCATATGCTTGCCTGTTGTTCTTACTGTTTTTGTTGTTGTTGTTGTTGTTGTTGTTGTTGTTGTTGTTGTTGTTGTTGTGGCTCCCCGAAGTGCTCGCGGGAGGGTCGCTTCTCTGCATGGTGCTATGGTGCTTAGATACTACTTGCTACCACTGCTATCAGTTAGTTGAATTGCTTCCGAGAGACAAGAGTTGGGAACGAAATAATGCACAAAGGCAGTCATCCGCCGCTGCAGCCACCTGGTTTTGCTGCTTTAGGAGGTTTGGACACTGAAAAACAGACCAGAAGAAGGAACTTCTACAAACTTTCCCCTTCCACTTTGACGACCCTGTTCTTGGTGTCACAACGTTTATTTCTCCAATCCACAACCTGAAACTGATGACGAGTTCCCAAATCTCAAAGGTCCTTTCGACTTCTCCAAGATCCCAACAACAGTTTTTATCCTGTCGTCATTCTCCCCTCTCCCCAGCATTGCTACTAAATGACGCTGTACCAGGTATAAGGCGTTGGGGAAATATGGTTAACTGAGAGTTCATTCGGAAATCAGGTCAAAGATCCCTTTTCCGGGTGACTGTCGTCCTGAAACGTTGCCGTGCGTGCAAACATCGCGGATTGGTCAAAACAAAGAGCCTTTATGGTAGCGACATAAAAACAAAAACAGGCCCCGGCTTGCTCCCCGATACCGAATCAAATCGTCGCCTCATCTGGGACATACCGGTACCTGGTAACAGGTGCCGATGCCATCTGAACGTACCGGCCGGAAACAGAATCCTCCTGTTTAATCGATGCTTCTTTTTTCAACCTTCTTTGTTCGTTCTTGTGTTCTTCGTTGCCGCTTTGATGTGATGACGTGAGTTAGAATAGGATACATGTAATGTATTTTGACAGAAACAAATTGACTTAATTGAAACAAAGATTAAAATTTGTCTGGCTAGACTAGTACATGTACCGGTACCGTACCAGTAATACCACTACCAACACAAGAGTTGCAAGTACGCCAGGAAAATTTTAAAAAGTACCGAAACGAAATAGAAAACAAGAAACATCATACAAATTCTTCTGGACGTATTGCAAGCAGGATTATTGGCGTTATCGACTGGCACTTACGTTTGATTGAAGATTCGATTCGTTTCTCAAGACTGTAATGAGTGTACAGTACAGTACAGTATGGGAACTTGGGAACTGTACAAAAAGCGTACTGTAGCACGAGTACCGTAGGTGTGAGCTAGTAGAGCTGGCTAGCTACCGGTAGCTACGGTACTGGTGGCGCGAAAGCCACCCGTACCTATTTCGCTTGTACAACGGACCACAGACCCATTTTCAAAATGTCGCTTGGCACACGATGGATCCTGGCTCAAGAGACTCCCCATTTTGCCGAATCCCCCCTGGCCGTACGAGATACACTGCGCATGGGCCATGAGAAAGAGGTCTAAGAACGTATCATAAAAGTCGACTGGTTGATAATCACTGCTTTGTTGGCGCTGATTCACACTAGTGCTCCTCGTTGCCTTGTCCAGATGCAACAGGGATGGACGTTTTGTCATGATGTTGCTGCCTGATGAAACCGAGGACGTGTTGGATAGTTCCAAAGATCGATTCTTCTTGGTAGACCATGGCGAAGGCACGATGAGCGCCATCTTCTTGCTGCCAACTCGTTTCCGGAACTCCTGAATGTGTTGTCGCGCCTCCATCGAATCCGAGAGAAAGACAACCGGTGCTCCCGGCGAAAGCTCCGAGGCACAGAAAACTGCGTTCTCGCTGGCTAGCTCCAGAAAAGTGGATGAAAGATGATTGTCAGCATTGTACATGGCCCTGTAGTGTGCCACCACGTAGGGTTGTTGATCCACACGAAGTTCTCCAATCGCCCTGGCCAAGGGTGGGGATGGTTCAAACAAGGACCAAAAGATGTCGCGATAGTCAAGAGAAGCTATACCATGCCCATGGTTTCCACTAGCTTGGTGTTGTGGTTGATGCTGTTGCTGATGATATTGATCGTAATAATCCCAGGCAGTTTTATAATCTTGAATCCTAGCTCGAACCACAGGGATACTGGTATTGTGTGCTGCGGGAACCAATGTGCTCACGCGGACAAAGACCGTCTTGTCGACGATCGAAGGTGCCGACAGGATGGATTTTTCTGTCGGAACGTGTTGGGTGTGGATACCAAAAGTGGTGTTCAGTAGTGGTGGCAGCATCCAATCTAACCCGTTGGCTGGTGGCATGAGAAATTCTTCCAAAGGAAAGGGTACAGTCCAAACAATGAGTAGTATCCGTTGCGTTTGAGCCGCCAAGAGTATCAAGAAGGGCAATGCCAAGAGTCGGTCTGCGAGTCCACCACATTGCCTGTCTTGATGGAGGCATTGTAAGATGAGGTATCTTTTTTGTTCATTGCTGCCTCCGGTTGTGATCTCCAAGGATTGCAGCTGTCGGTGGTGCCAAGCAAAGTATCGCTTCATCCATTCCGGGAGGCTCGTCGTGTGCGACGGTGGTGATGATGATGATGATGATAACGATTCCTCTGGATGATACCAGTTCTCACGGTACCATCTCAATGGTTTTGACAGCCTGGCTAGTTGGAGAGGCCGTTGCTCCTTCCTCTTGTTGCTATCGAGAATCTTGAAATGACGAGGACGTGATGCTCGACTGGCACTTGGTTCGTTCTGTATTGGTACTAGCATCGCTGATAACAAGAAAGATACAACTGGTAGAACAAACAGCGCCGCTGCCATGAGGGACTTGGCACGAGAATACCACCCACATGACCTTCGTCGCTTCTTTACTTTGAGTTTTCGAACAACAGTAAAGGTACACCTCTTCATGATAGCACCATCATAGCATACCGTACATCAATCACAAGGAGTACTTCTAATCATATATATTGAGGAAGTGTTTGGGTTGCTTGCTAGCTAGCTAGCTAGCGGTTCGAAAAGGCGGTGCTGTTCCCAAGAGGACGATTCCCGATACCAGGACCGTCGTTTTGAAAACCATCCTTGTGGATGTCACGATGTCACTTGCTTTTGTTCGGATTGATTACCGGCCTTCCTTTTAATTAAGCATACCGGTACCGGTACCAGGTATGCCATATTACAGTAGTACTACAGCTGTAGCACAGTAAATACAAGTAATAAGTGAGCAAGCCAGCAACGGGGTAGCTGGACGTGATTAATTTTACTCCACGTAATTACGTTACTTCGAACCAAGTACGGCAATTCGTTACAGTGTTACAGTCCTCCAAAAGATGAAATGTACTGTCCGTGCTTACAAAGTTACCAGTACTTGTATTAGTATGTACGCGCTGATGCACCTTTGAAGCATACTTACCACGTGGGGAAGGACCACCCACCAGGCATACGTACGCATGTACTAGATCTACCTGATTCTCGTTTTAGCTACTCTACTCATCATTACAATGTCATGTAGGTACTAGTAGGGAGCTGATGATTCTTGCCGAGCTCGGGCTCTACCGTCGCTAGCCAAGCTGGATCCCGGACTAAATTGCAAGGCAGGGCGGGGCTACAGTGTCCTTCGTCGATCGTTCGTGAAAAGCAGGGGAGCGGCACCACCCTGTGATGCTTGGCTAGTTTTCTGATTCTAGCTACTGGTAGCTAGCTAGTCAGCAAACGAAAAAGTTTGGAGTCTTCTGGCAAGGCATTTGGGACGACAGGCTGGTAGAGAGCTAAAACCGCAATTTATCCATTCAACCAGTTGGCTACAAATACCGCGCTCGGTACCGGTAGTTACATTGGGTTCCCGACACAGGCGCAGGCCTCCCATACTCTCATTTACCAAGCAAACGTACATGTACCGGTAGGTTAGGGTTTAGTACACTTCGGAAGGCCGCATTACCACCACTTGAACACCTGTCCCAAACCCCACTACTAGTCTAGCTATGAGTTCATTGCTGCTATCGGGATCGCACAAAGGAGGGCTATATTTCTTTACAAAATGGTCTGTTTTGCGCAGCCAAGAAAGCTGTTAGAAGAATAGAACCAAGTAAGGGAACAGTTTGTTGTCGTCTGTAGATGCCTTTCAAGGAAAAGGTTGCGAGATGCAATACGGTAGAGGTGCAGCCCGATACCCCATCCGTCCATCAACCAAAGCAAGCCCACGACTTACTTGATCTACTCATGACTGGTTCCAACGGTCTTTTTTAGAAGTCCTGCTGATAGTCCCCTGTGACATTGAAAGTCACACATGATCTAAGTATCACTGATCCTGTTTAGATGATGCATCTTCGGGTCTGCTCGCTGGCATTCATAATTTGCGAAAGATCCTTCACAAGAGTAAGTCACAAATTTCTCGTGGGAAAAATCCACGAAGGCACGACTCCTGAAAGTTAGTTGTTCTTTTTCTCACTACCCTGGTGCTTGATGTGCCAGATGCTACCTCTACGTTAGTGGTGGTTTAGCCAGTTGTTCTGAAACCATCGAATTGACTGATTGAAAAAGCAACCCAGAGTCTTTCAGTCTTTTTCACTGTGCTTTTGTTTCTTGTATGCAAACTGGTCTTGAATTTTGTTGAGCCGCCAACCAAGGTCATTCCTACTCCCATCGAATCCAGCAGATAAAGAGATTTAGTTTAGGGCACAGAGTTGCTTACTTTTCTTTTGCTCCAGCAGTGAATCCATCAAGCTACCATTATCTTACTTACTTCCTTGAGTTGATTCGATTCGATACAAGTCAACATGATGATGTCATTCCGCCTCCTCTTTTTGGCCGCTACCGCGAGCAGTGTGTTGTCTGGCACTCCCGACAATGTGTCTTCCCGATTAATGGTTCATGTCCCGCACCATCTCTTCAAAGAAGGAGGGTACGATCACCGCGAAGCTCTGTTTGGACGACCTCCCTACGGCGGCTCCATTTCTCAATCGGTCTACTACACGGAAGATGATCTGTGCGATCCCAGCAAAGCCGTCTTGCACACACATCCCCACGACGTCAACGAAAAGGGAGAAACCGTCCTCAAGTCGCCCTTTATTCTCATGGTCAATCGAGGCAACTGCGCCTTTGTCCAAAAAGTTCGCAACGCCCAACGCAACGGCGCCGCCGGAGTGGTCATTGCCGACAATGTCTGTCTCTGTTCCGACCAGGAGTGCATGGCCCATCAAGAATCACAAGCCTCTTCCGGCGGAGTCGCTCCAGCACCCTGCGAAACGGCAGAACCCGTCATGGCCGATGACGGCAGTGGCTCGGATGTCTCCATTCCGTCCTTTTTAATGTTTAAACACGACGCTGACAAGGTCAAGGACGAACTCGCCAAGAATCGACCCGTACGATTGGAAATGCAATGGTCGCTACCCCATCCCGACAGTCGCGTCGAGTACGATCTATTTTCCAGTCCCACCGATCCCGTCGCACATCACTTTCTCAACGAATTCAAGCCCATTGCCAAGGCACTGGGACATCATGCCTACTTTACGCCACACATGTACGTATTTGATGGAGTTCGGAGTCAGTGCCACGGAATGAACGGAGAGAATCAGTGCTTCAACTTGTGTTCAAATAACGGGAGGTAAGAAATTGTTCTCTGCTATTGCATCTCCAGAATTCTGTTCTTTACCCAAACCAATCGAACTAACTCGGATTTGCTTAGGTATTGCGCCATGGACCCTGATAAAAACTTGGATTCCGGTGTGAGTGGATTCGATGTTGTCAAGGAATCACTCCGACGACACTGCATCTGGAGCAATTACGGAGAAGACGACGGTGTCGGCGAAAAGTGGTGGGACTACGTGTCCGAATTTGACAAGCGTTGTGGAAATATGGATTACTTTAACAACCCCGACTGTGTCAATGATGTCTACCATCACTCCCACGTCGACGGTGATCTCATTGAACGATGCATGCAAAATTCCGGAGGCCTGGAAAAGGACGCCACCAACTCCTTTTTGGAATCCGAACTTAAGGCACAAACCGACCTGGGCGTTGTCATTATGCCCACGGCATTTGTGAATAAGGTCGCCATTCGCGGAGCCATGTCGGTTGCCAATGTCTTTCAAGCCGTCTGTGCCGGATTTGCTGCCGGATCCCGTCCTCACATTTGTACCATGTGCAGTCACTGCGGTGATCCCGCCGCCTGTGTCCATCACGGACATTGTACCGCACACATGGGGGGTGGATTCATGCACGAAAGTCTCCCCAAGGGATCCGTTTCCACCCACAGCTTTTATGGATGGATGCTCTTTATTGTCGGATGCTTCTCCGTCGCGGCGGCCTGGCATTACAAAAAGAGCCGGGACGATATGCGACAACAGGTCCGAACCATTTTGGCCGATTATATGCCACTCAACGACTCGGATCAAATGGGAGGTTCTCCTGGAGGTGGTATGCAAATGCCCGCCTTTGGGGGCAATGCCCAAATGGCCGTCTCGAGCATGATGGGTATGGGATCGTCGCAGCAGTCGCAGGCACCACCATCGGCTCCGCAATATAATCCTGGCAGTCTCTTGTAAAACAAACAAACAAGCAAGCAAAAGGTGGAAATTAAAGAATGAAAGGAAAACTTGCTGTTGGGAAATTTGCAAGAGAAAGGAAAGGAGAGAGTATAGAAAGCCAACAAGGATGGAAAGAAGAAAAAAGCACGGTCAGGTCTGCAAGAAAGAAGGAGACGTACGAGTAGACGACCAAATAAAACCAGTTGTACGTATTCCATGATACCCTACTGCAGGTTACAACCTGACCATATAGGCACCCTTCGTATTCGACAACGTGGCCGGACTTCTTATTCAGAGCAGTGGACATGAGGACAAGACCACGCTCTAACTCACATGGTTGCCCAACACGAACTGGGCAGGAGGACAAGACACACCTCACTTTTACAGAACTGCAACACGAACCTACTTTTCTCTTCCGCAGACAAACAAGATGTCCATTGAGAACTCTGGATAACTCTCCCCTCAAGTACTAGCTAGTATCCAGCAAGTTGATTTGGCTTGGTCGGTACGATACGTTTCCTCTTCTTAGTATGCATGCCCAAGAGCAAGTTGTCCGGCAACGCCTCATGCAAATTCATGGATTTATAATTAGCCAGATATTATACAACAAGGCACTGGTACCGGTGCGTCGATCCTTTTGCTGCCTAGCTGGCTGCATGTACATCATGCTGGAAAACAAGGTGCTATCATTGGCATGGGGCACCACCGTACATCATTGCCTCGAACGCCAGGCGCATCTCCTCCTCTTCTTTCTTGGCGTCTCTTTTGCACTCAGCATCTGACAGCTCAAAGACTCCTGGCATGTATGCCGAAATAGCATTCCGTTCTTCTTCCAACTCGAACTTTCTCAATTCCTTATCTGCGGACATTCTGTAATGATGGGACGCACCCTGAAACATGACGGGCAGTGTGCCATTCATCATGAGCTCGCCCTGGATCATCAATTCCAGGTCTTCGCGAGCACTCAGGTCCTCTCGTAGCTCCTGCATCTTTCCCAGCTCTTTGGAGCAATCCAAGATGTGACTGGTTCTGGGGATTCGAATCTTTTCGTAGATTTCTACTGCCTTGTCAAATTTTTTGAGTGTGAAGTTACCCTTGTAGTCCACGCACAACTTCTTGAGTAGCCAGGCCATGGTGCCCGCATCTTCAATTCCCATCTGAGCTCCTTGGCCACTGTGGTGTTAGGAAGGGGGCACTTTGTGAGCATAAGCCCTCATTCTCAGGTAGAGTAGAAACAGCACCAGGCAACAGTCTACTTACATGTATGGAACTGGCGGGTGGGCAGCGTCGCCCACCAAAACCACACGCTTGTTCTTGCCGTACGCCCACTTCTTCAAGCGGGGTTTCATCAAGGCAAATCCAACGCGGACAGCGTGGGTAACATGATGGAGTGGCTCAATAAAGCGAGGATGCCAACCATCTTGTTCCAATCTCTTGGCAAGAGCTTGGCATTCCTGCTTGGACATTGTATCTGTCAGGTTGCCCCAGTTGCCACTGTTGGCCTGTTCAACAGGAATGGGCCAATGTACTTGGAAACATTGTTCATTGGGGCCAGTAGGAAAGTAGACTGAATGACAACCGGTGGTGTGAGAACTGGGGAAGGAGATTCCTTCCTGCTGAACCGGACAGTTTTCGGCAATGCCCATCAGACACGTCACACCCGTGTACTCCAGAGAAGTGGCATCTCCTGCCACAACCTCACGAACTTTGGAATGGGCTCCATCACAGCCAAAGAGAAGCTGCGTTGTGCGTTGACTTCCATCTTCAAAGAGGACATCGACCAATCCATCATCTCTTACAACCACGTCCTTGGTAGCCTTGCAAAAGTGAAAGGGGATACCCATTCCCACGGCCGCTTGGAAGAGGACCTTTTGAAGCTTCCATCGGCGGATTCCAATACTCGATAGCTCCCAGTCTCCTTCTGTGAGTTCATCCTCCTTTGCTGCGGCAATCTCGGTTCCGTCATGGCGTTCCCATCGCCTATACACATAGGGGGCTCCGGCCTCTTGGATCTTACGAAGCAAATCTGGATCAATGTCTCTGATAACCCGAAGCCCATTTGGATACATCCCAAGGGCCGCACCAACCTCATCGTAGAACTTGGTAGCCTTTTCGTATATCTCACAAGTGATACCACAATGTCTCTTGACAGCCATTGCAAAGATGAGGCCTACGATACCTCCTCCGACCTGTAAAGATCAACGAAAGTGAGTACAAACTCAAGAGCAAGGTCCAAGGCTAACGAACGTGAAACGTACAATGACAATCTTAGCGGGCTCCTGTTTCACTGATGTGCTCTGATCCTTTGCCATCATGAAATTGTACGTCTTGGTCTCCTGGTGAAAGTTCGAGTTTTGTAGGTTTCGAATGTTGGTTGCAGTTGAGTGCTTTTTTGTTTTTATGCGAGCTTCTCAATCCTGTTGAGATGCGGCATTCTGAAGCATCAGTCGTTGTCAAAAGGATGAAGTAGTTGATAGATTCGGATTTGTTGTTTGCCGCAAACAGACTTCGCCGTAATGGAGTGGCAAAAAAACAAGTCCAGGCGAACCGAACCCCGGCAACCGCTCGAATGGAAGCAACGGAAAACGGAAGGGTAGATTGTGAGGAGCTTTGTGAGGCCAGTACATGTATCCGAACTGAGAAGTGGTTGGCTGGTTTCAAATTAGGATTCTTTGTGCCCTCAGTAATCCTGTCCGGTAAAGATTTTATTAAATAAAAGGAGCACTTGGTCATTCAAGAAAGAATGGCTGGACGTTGAAGGGCACGATGAGAACACTCCGATGACTGATCAAGCTAAGGTCAGGTTGAAGGAACTCCGACCAAAGTGTAGAGAGCACGCAACTGCACAGTTTTGCACATTAAATTTGGCATCGCTTGAGTTTTCAACAGGGACTGTCCTTTGCGGTCTCCCTCCTCCCGTAGGGTCTCAAGCTGAGGCGAAGCCATCAAAGGGCCAACTCCGGCCACTAGCTAGCTAGTTAGTAGAGAGCTGCTGCATATTATGGGAACGAAGGCAAGGATGGGAACCGAGAAAAGGCTGCTCGCTGTTCATCAACCGCGAGCACACCCAAATGACATAGGAGAGCGACATGAAACCAAGGGTTTTGACCCCACCTGGAAAGAAGCAATCTCGCCAACCAGGCCATTTACCTGCTACAGTAGAGCCAACCCAAACACTGAAACTTCCTTATACTTGACACCAAATTCGTGTTGTTGGGCCTCAGAGAGGTAAAAGCTTTCTCCCTTTTCCCTTTTCAACAGATCGGTTGGTTGTTTTCGTTTGGGTGACGAGATTCAAGAGTTTTGCCTTTTCCACAGGTGGGACAAGGAGTCACGCAACCGAACCGTCCTACCCCGAACTCTCCGAGTACTGGTATGATTGAATGGAGGCAGTTTGCGTGTTGAACATCGAGCCTAGGGGCTTTGCTTGCTTCCGTGGTTTTCAAAAGATCCTGGGTTAGCCAACTACATCACCGCAGATTTTCATCCGGTAAAACAAACGGCGGAGTTTGAGCGACCACATTGTCTAGCTATTCAAAGGGCTGATTCTATTCTTTTCTTCTTGCTCGATTTGGTACGGTAACACTGCTGGATGTGACGATGGATCTTTTTACTCTAGTCACAGCTGCTTGTACCGGTACCACTGGAGTGAATCCCCATACTTCAGATTGTCCAAGCATCCATTCTGGCAGCCTCGGGGCGAAACGTTCACCCATCACGAATAGTACATGTACTATTCATCACATGAAGAGCCATGCTCATCACTTCAGCGCTCCTAGCTAGATGCACATATTCATATCTATAATCCCATATAGCAGCCCCTATGTCTTCTTTCAGGATAGTGAATGATGATTCAAAGCAGCTGCCTCCACTGCTTAGTATGCTTCAGGATTGACAGTCTCTCGAGATCTGGAAACATAATCCTGAGAATACTCTCTCTTGAAACCAGCTTCGGCATTTTTTGTGCAAATGCTTGCATGGTATCTGGACCCCTTCTCATGTAGGGAGCTGCTACGTTCTCAAAAAAATCTTTTAGCGGACAATGGAGCAGCTACATCGTGCGTCCTCGCCACAACCGTACAGCCCAAAGAAAGGATACTTCGTTTCAATTATTGCTTCACAAGGGTCCTGGCAATTGCAAGGCATGGCGCTACGCGCTCCCTCTTCCCTCCTCAAATTAATAGCCATCTGGAACTATTTCATCTCCTGACAACATATGATATTGGCTAGCTGCTAGCTGCTAGCTACTAATGAGATTTAGGGGGGGTTAGGCACCAGCGCGGGGGAGGGAAAAAGAAAAAGAAAGGGAGAGGGTTATCCGTTGGATTCCAGATTCCGGTGAATTGCTGGCTCGCCTGTCATTCGTGATGTCTGAAGAACAATCTTTACATATGCAAAGAGGGGTAACGGCAGTCATTATAGTCGTCTTCTAACAAAATGAGACATCTCCCCCTGTCTCAAGGCGATGGATGATGTCTGAAGAACAACGAATATGTCAGCAACTACGTCAAAGGAATTCAAATCATTTCAACGGATACTTCCACTCACTCGCTCTTTTTCCCTTCCTTCGCTCGCACCAGACCTTCCCACCTCGCAGCCATAATTCGAAATCTTCCTACTCGAAAAGGTAAGAATGCTGCTGCTGTTGTTGGTGTTGTTGTTGTTGTTGTTGTTGTTGTTATTGTTATTGTTGTTATCCACAATGGCGACAATGGCATGCTACTAATCACTATCCTATCCGCTGTCCTTCTATCCGTCCGTAGGGGCAAGGCTCTTGGCAACAACAACAACAACTACTTCCTCTACCGACGCTCCTTCCTCTACCGACGCTCAAACGAAACTCGAAACTCGACAATGAGGATCGCCACTAGTCCATGGTTCTCCAAGTGGCTGCAAAGTGTCAACAAATACCCATACAATGAGCTGAGAGTTACAAGGCATGGATTCACCTGCAAGTATGTCATTTGTGGGTACAACAGCGACAAGGAGGACAACTTCTGTTTGCCCACAACAAGCATGGAAGTGACGGTTCTTGAGGAGTTGATATTGCAAGGAGCAGGCAAGCCTCTTCCTCCTGATATGACAGGCATCATGGACTACATGTTTGAATGGGGACGCCAGGATAGTCCACAATGGTACCGTGCTGTTGTTGCTACCCTTTCTGAAATGCTGGAGGGTCCACATCCCTGTGAAAGGAAGGACATCTTTATGGAGTGCATCTATTGGTTAGCAAAGGATAGGATCACTGAGGAGTATGACTTGGGCTCCATTGAAGGCCAGATTTGCATGGATGCTTGGCATGGGTATTGCATCCAGTGGTACCAACCCAAATTTTCCTTCAAGGAGTATTGTATGATGAATCATGAGTTTGTGATGTTGTGCATGGAAGACCTTCAGTATAATGGAGGCCTGAGACCCCAATTGGCTATGTTTATTGATGGCAACAACCAACAAGGACTTTGAATGTAAGTTACTTGCTAAATTAGAAATGAATCGGATGTACCTAAATATTTATTGCTGTTCTTATGCCAGATATCCATTCAATCGAGTTTGACAGGTGGCATCATGAGGTGGTCTTCCTCTCCTGTTGGTCAACCACTGGCAGTATCTCTGACAGCAGCCATTCGGTGGAGGAGGTGGCTGGAAAGGATATGGCAGTATGGGTTGGAATTGCCGCATTTGCATGGCAAGTTGCATCATTTGAATTTGTTGTTGTTGCTGGTATAGAATCAAATTACCAACATAAGCATTTCTTGTTTGTGGCACTGCAGGTGGTGGTGGTGGTGGTGGCGGTGGCGGTTGAACCAATGCTGTTGCAGTCGGTGGTGGTGGTGCAATGGCCTCTGTTTCCATCGGTGTTTGTACTGTTGGTGCTCCACGATGCTGGACTGTTGGTGCTTCTACTGGTGGTTGTGGTTCTGTACAAGCCACACACAAACAACAATCATTTGGTGCATACTTCTGCCGCTGTGGTTTGAATGAAACAATGAACTCTGAAAAGAACCTCTCTCCATTATCCTGTGGCAATGGCTCTGCAGTAGGAAATGGTTCATTGAGACCCACAGCCTCTGCTAGCTCATTCAGGTAAGCCAACTCTGAATGGTTCCAGTATGGAACAACCTTTTCCCATCCAGCTGGAATTGACCTCCTTTCTTCCAGACTGATTCTTGACAGGAAGGCTCTCTTGTGTCGAATGTTGAGGTTGTATCTGGCTGTTCCAGCAAGGTTGAGTGCATCAGCAAGAGACCTCCTCATACCACTATTGGCAAAATGGGCAAACTTGTCATGGAATGCTTCAAGTTTGGATTCTCCTCTCCTTGACAGATACTCAGGGAGGCTGTGCTTGGAGTTGGGCGATGGAAGGATTGTGTCATACATGTCTTCCAAAGGCAGTGGATCAGCCAAGTGAATGGCTTTGTCAACACAGTTCTCTACTGCTGGTTTGGTATCAGAAGTGAATAAGGTAAAGTTCTTGAATGGATCCAGTCGGCCCTGTCCTGGCTGGCTACCATCACTGGCAGTCACCTTGTATCTGCAGAACCACTGTTGCAACTTCTGTCTCATGGTCTCTGGTTCTCTCATCTTCTTCCTTAGATATTTGGAGTACCTGGCTCTGAAGACCTTGGAGGCTTCATATCTGAGATCTCTGCCATGGAGTAGTGCTTGCCATTGGAGGACAAGAGGCCATGTTTCAATGCATGGAGAAGTTTCTCATAGTCATCTGGTGAGTACACATACAGGCAATCCAAGAGGTCTTTCATTGCTTGGAAGTGATTAATGTGGCCCTTCCTCAAATTTGACAGAATCCTTTTCTCGTAATGGAGCAGGCCAAGTCTTCCCTCTATATCCTGGAAAGGATCTCAGTAGTCATTCTTGTTGGGCCATGTGTCGTGTACATGGCAGCAGGTTGAAGTGGCTCATCCTGTCTAGCTGCATGGCAGCATTCGGAGAAGTGGATGGTCTTGTGGTTGAGAACCAGAACTAGCGAAGCAATCTCACCAGTCTCATGTGCAGCATCACCAAACAGCACCACACCAAACCTCTGGAGTAGTTCTTGACCGCCTGAAAGGTTGGCTTGGCAGAAGATTCCTTTTTGCACTTGACACTTGGATCTCTCTTGTGTGCCTTTGGTGTCACTAATCCTCCATGGATCTGTTGAAGGCACATAGCGGCATCATAGATGTCAGGTATGGTGTCACCAAGAGGAGAAACTGTCTGATGTAAGTTCCATCCTTTGAAGAAAGGGATCTGGTATCTGTTTCACTTCCTTCCCAATAGGAGAAGTAGGACATCATGGCCATAATGAACGTCTCTGTTGACTGCATTGTAGATGAGCCGACTGCAGAGTTCTCATTTCCATAGGTCAACATATGTGATTCGAAAGTCTCAGTGGCAGTTCTCTTCCAAATGACATGCCTTGTTTGGAAGGTCATACTTTGACTCCAAGGATGGAGGAGAGCAGCTTGCTGTGGATTGTGCACAAGACTTAGCACTGTTGGCATCAAACTCTCCTCTGGCAACACTCACAGCCATTGACATTACATATGCAACCAAGATGGATGCTCCAGTGCATGCCAAAATAGAGGAAACAAGGTCTTTGTTCTTTGACCAGTTATGCTCTCATTCTTGAGTTGCCATAGCATCTCCATCAGGACAAGACAACAGCAATCCACACTGATTCCAGTCAACAAGGGTAGTTTCTGCGCAAACAATAGAGTGATAGTGGGGAGTTTGAATTGCTCCTCTGTGGATGGAACTGTCATGGTGAGTCCTTCGAAAGTTGGTGAATGCTCTGGTTCCTTTGTTGGACTGTATTGATTCTGACACTAGCTTCTTGCCATGTGCATCATAGCCAGAGGAGTATCCTTTGGTCTTGTGCTTTTCAACAAAGGCATTATCCTTCACAAGAGTGGTTACCTTTTGACAGAGACGCTAGTGGAGTGTGGTTTGGTTTTGGATGTCTTCTGTTGCCGGCTCGATTGGTGTTTCGTTCTAGCAGCGAAGAAGGCATCTCCATTCTCTCTTGTGAGAATGATTCCAGCTCCTCTCTCATTCAGTGGAAGAGGAGCACTGAAGTGCTTGTAGTCCTCTGCTCTCTCATGATTCCATTGTCAGCTCATTCAATACCTCCTCTCTCTCTTGTTAGTATCTAATACAGAAGACAGAGGGATCTCTTGGGACTCTAACCAAGAATGTCTGCCTACAGATGACACAGTTCTTGAGTGGATCAAAAGACTTCTGCTACCACTCCTCACCAGTGTTGTTGGCGGTCCTTCTTCTTCTGCTCTCTGATCTGTTGGTGTTGGAGCGCAGATTGATAGGCTCTCTTCTTTTGTTGCGAGTTCCTCTGTTGATTCTTGGCAGCCCATTCCTCCATGTTGAGTGGTGTGCTGTGCTGTGCGCTGCCTGTTCCGTCAAGCCCTTCCTGCGCGCTGCACTCGCTTTTGGCCGAGATGAATGACGCTGAGTGGCTCGTGATGGTTGCCGCGGGTTGTTGTCATGTGTCGATTCGCGATGAGGAATCTTCTTCTTCTCCGAAAACAAACAGACGAATTTTCGAGCTTGGTAGCACATTACACTCCGTAGATAACTATAAATGGTACGTTACATATATTGCGATCAATTGCATCAGGTCAGTTTTGTGGTGTTGGTGTTGGTGTTGCTGTTGGTGTTGGTTGGGTTGGTGTTGGTGTTGGTTGCTGTTGCGTTGCTGTTGCTGTTGTGTTGGTGTTGGTGTGTGTTGTGTTGGTGTTGGTGTTGTTGGTTGTGTTGTTGTGGTTGGTGTTGCTGTTGTGTTGCTGTCTGCTGTGGTGTTGCTTGTTGCTGTTGTGTTGTGTGCTTGTGTGCTGGTTGGTGTTGGTTGGTTGCGTTGGTTGCTGTTTGGGTGCTGTTGGCTGTTGCTGTTGGCTGTGTGTGGTGTTGGTGTTGGTGTTGGTGTTGGTTTGGTTGTGTGTTGTGTGTGTGTATTGTTGTGTTGGTGTTGCTGTTGGTGTTGCTGTTGTGTTGCTGTTGGTGTTTGCTGTTGCGTTGCTGTTGCGTTGGTGTTGGTGTTGGTGTGTGTGGTGTTGGGTGTGTTGGGTTGTCGTTGTTGTTTTGTTGTGTTTGTTTTTGGTTGTTTGTTGTTGTTGGTTGTGTTTTGTTTGTTGTTGTTGGTGTTGTTGTTGTTGTTGTGTGTTGTTGTGTTTTTGTTGTTGTGTTGTTGTTGTTGGTTGTTGTTGTGTTGTGTTGTTTGTTTGTGTGTTGTTTGTTGTGTTGTGGTTGTTGTGATGGTGTGTTGTTGATTGTTGTTGTTTGTTGTTGCTCATGGTTTGAATTTGAAAACCATTGCTGTTGCGTGCTGCCGCCGCTGCTCGTGGTATCGCTGAAGATTACTTATATAACTGTTGGGCCTGGCTGCCGCTGTTAACGTTGTATTCGTTGTAGGAGGACGATTTGCAGTTGGGCCAGGATTTGAATTCGAATTGCCGGTAGCTGTTGGCGATGGAGTTGCGAGCGGTGCACGAACAACAGGTTGACCGTACAAATTGACACAACACAGTTTGGGAGCGTACTTTGCCGCTGTGGTTTGAATTCAACGAGATATATCCGAAGAACCGCTCGCCATATCTGTTGCAATGGCTCAGCTTCTGGGAAGGGTGGATTTTCAATTCCCACTGCCGCGCAAGGTCATTCAGGTAAGCCAATTCTGTGTGGTTCCAGTATGGGACAACCTTCTCCCACCCAGCAGGTATTAACCTTCTTCGTTCATTGCTCTTGGCTATCGAAAGGTTGTATCTTGCTGTTCCTGTGAAGGTTGAGGGCATCACAAAGCGACCGACGTAGACGCATCCCACTGTTGGCAAAGTGTGCAAATTTATCATGGAAGGCTTCGAGCTTGGATTCTCCTCTGTTGGAAAGGTACTCGGGTAAGTTGTGCTTGGCATTTGGAGATGGTTCTATTCTCAGATACATGTCATCTAATGGAAGAGGATCGGCCAGATGGCAAGCTTTCTCTATGCAGTTTTCCACAGCCGGTTTGGTGTCAGAAGTGAACAAAGTGACCTTTCGACTGGGATCCAATCGGCCTCCTGCATGACCACCATCATTCAGGTAAGCCAATTCTGTGTGGTTCCAGTATGGGACAACCTTCTCCCACCCAGCAGGTATTAACCTTCTTCGTTCATTGCTCTTGGCTATCGAAAGGTTGTATCTTGCTGTTCCTGTGAGGTTGAGGGCATCACAAAGCGACCGACGTAGACGCATCCCACTGTTGGCAAAGTGTGCAAATTTATCATGGAAGGCTTCGAGCTTGGATTCTCCTCTGTTGGAAAGGTACTCGGGTAAGTTGTGCTTGGCATTTGGAGATGGTTCTATTCTCAGATACATGTCATCTAATGGAAGAGGATCGGCCAGATGGCAAGCTTTCTCTATGCAGTTTTCCACAGCCGGTTTGGTGTCAGAAGTGAACAAAGTGACCTTTCGACTGGGATCTAATCGGCCTCCTGCATGACCACCATCACTTGAAGTGACCTTGTATCGGCAGAACCATTGCTGTAACATCTGTCTCATGGTCTCTGGTTCTCTGAGTTTCTTCCGGAGATATTTCGAGTAGCGATCTCTGAACACTCGGGTAGCTTGCATGTCGGCGATATCTTGCATGGAGTAACATCTTCTGGTGCTCGAAAGAGTGCCCTGTTTGAGAGCCTCAAGAACCTTCTCATAATCTCCGGGTGAGTAAACATAGAGGCAGTCGAGAAGCTCTGTGAGTGCTTGGTAGTAATCGATGTGTCCCTTTCTCAAAGTGCTGATGATTCTTTTTTCAAAGTGGAAGAGTCCCAATCGCCCCTCAATTCCAGGAAAGAGATGCTCCCAATAAGTGTCCTTGTTGGGCCAAGTATCGCTGTACATTGCAGCTGGCTTGAAGTTCTGTCTCTTGGATAGCTGGATGGCTGCGTGGGAAAAGTGAATGGTCTTGGTGGTTGGAACAAGAATGGCAGAAGCTATTTCACCAGTCTCTGTGGCAGCATCCCAAACCGCTGTTGCTCCAAGACTTCTCTGGTAATTCTTCACTGGCTGGAAGGTGTGGTCCTGACAGAAGATACCCTTTGATTGGACGCTCTGAATCTCTCTTGTGTGCCTGTCCTTGTCACTGATGAACCACGGATGTCTATTCGATGCCGAAGCTGCATCCCAAACATCACGAATGGTGTCTCCAAGAGGAGGGAACTGTCGGATGTAAGTGCCATCTTTGACAATGAATTCTTGAGGTGTGTCGGAGTCTTGAAGTTCCCAATAAGAGTAATAAGATGTCATTCGATTAATGTACTCTCTGTTGATAGCATTGTAGATCAGACGACTGCAGAGTTCTCCATTTGCATAAGTCAGCATGATGTTCTCGAATACGTCAGTGGCCGTTCGATCAAGGTGGCATTTAGTTGAAGCAAGAGCAAACTTAGATTGAACCGGATACAAAAGGGCGGCGTGTTGTGGGATGGTTGCCAAAACCTCAGCGCTGTTAGCGTCAAATCTCCTCTTGCAACAGCTGCAAACCATAGACATGACCAAACACCAAGACGGAGCACCAGAGACCCCAAAGACTGGGAACAACGTCTTATTCTTGGACCAATTGGTTCTTTCATTGACAAGCTTGCCGGAGCATTTAGAGCTGGGACAAGAAGCCACAATGCCACAGCGCTTCCAGTCAACCAGCAAGAGTTTTTGACCAACTATCGAATGGTAGTGTGGACAGGAGTACCCAGGCCCTGGAACTGTCATTGTAAGCCCCTCGAAGTGTCTAGAAAACAGCTCTTGTTGCCCCATGACGCTTTTGGCCTTTGCTTTGTTGGTTGTACCACCGGTATTATTCCTTTGCGCGAAAAAGGCGTCACCGTTTTCCTTTGTTGAGTGTCTCCAACTACCCTTTTCGTGTGGAGCAAGAGGAGTTGCGAAGTGCTTTTCCAGACGTCTTGCCTCTTGGATGGAGGCTACAGTGAGTGAGTTCAGTTTGCCTTGGCCTTTGGTTGTTTTATTCTTGATGCAAAGGACGTGGTGAGCTCTTTTTGGCACTCTCAGTCCAAAATGGCGAGCTCTGCAAATCTGACAATGTCTGAAGGGGTCAAACACTTCAGCCAATCCTCCTCCTAGAGTTGTTTGACCACCTCGGCGCTTCTTGGACGGGTATGTGTGTGATCGAGCAAGACCAAATCCTCTCTTTTGTTGTGAATTTCTCTGTTGACTCTGACAACCCATTCCTTCATTTTGTGTGGTCAGAACTTGGCTGTCTCCATTGGTGGCGGCGGTGCTGTTGGGTGTTGCGGACATGGTTGATGGTATCTTTGTGTTGCGATATGCAACTTGGGTTGTGCGATGACCGGTCTTTTCCTCATCTTGATCGGCAGACTTTCATGGAATCTCTGTTTTCTTTTCTTTCGAAAAGAAATTGGGTAGCTTGGTAGCTCATTGGCTCCAACAGTATGTGTCAGGTAAGTGTCGAGTCACCTTAAATGATGCTGACATATACAAGTGTCCTTAACCAATCATATCACTGCCTTCTACCGCTTAAAATCGCGGAACACTACTAGTACCGGTACGACGGACAAGCAGAGGCACTTTTACCTATTCTGATCAGACTTTTAGTGGGCTGGTAAAAATCCTCCTTTCCAATAGACGTTTGTTGACCATGGCGAATAATCAGAGCACATCGGCGGAACAGAAGCCCGCTACGATTGCCATAGTACGTTCCACGTTGCATTGGACCTTGCCTTGAGTTTGTACTCACTCTAATTATGTTCTTCCATTATCTGTACAGGTTGGAGGGGGTATCGTAGGCCTCGTATTTGCAATGGCTGTCAAGAGACATTGTGGTATCACTTGTGAGATATACGAAAAGGCTACCAAGTTCTACGATGAGGTTGGTGCGGCCCTTGGGATGTATCCAAATGGGCTTCGGGTTATCAGAGACATTGATCCAGATTTGCTTCGAAAGATCCAAGAGGCCGGAGCCCCTCATGTGTATCGATGATGGGAACGACATGACGGAACCGAGATTGCCGCCGCCAAGGAGGATGAACTCACAGAAGGCGACTGGGAGCTAACGAGTATTGGAATCCGTCGATGGAAGCTTCAAAAAGTACTCTTCCAAGCAGCCGTGGGAATGGGTATCCCCTTTCACTTTTGCAAGGCTACCAAGGACGTGATTATAAGAGATGATGGCTTGATTGATGTCCTCTTTGAAGATGGAAGCCAACGAACAACGCAGCTTCTCTTTGGCTGTGATGGAGCCCATTCCAAAGATTGTGAGGTCATGGCAGGAGATGCCACTTCTCTGGAGTACACGGGTGTGACGTGTCTGATGGGCATTGCCGAAAATTGTCCAGTTAAACAGAAAGGAATCTCCTTCCCCAGTTCTCACACCAGTGGGTGTCATGCTGTCTACTTTCCTACTGGCCCCAACGAACAATGTTTCCAAGTGCATTGGCCCATTCCTGTTGAACAGGCCAACAGTGGCAACTGGGGAAACCTGACAGATACAATGTCCAAGAAGGAATGCCGAGCTCTTGCCAAAAGACTGAAGCGGGATGGCTGGCATCCTCGATTCTTTATTGAGCCACTCAATCACGTTACCCATGCTGTCCGTGTTGGATTTGCCTTAATGAAACCCAGCTTGAAGAAATGGTCCTATGGCAAGAACAAGCGTGTCGTCCTGGTGGGCAACGCTGCCCACCCACCAGTTCCATACATGTAAGTAGAATGTTGCCTGATGCTGTTTCTACACTACCTGAGAATGAGGTCATTATGCTCACAAAGATCCCCCTTCCTAACACCACAGTGGTCAAGGAGCTCAGATGGGAATTGAAGATGCTGGCACCATGGCCTGGCTACTCAAGAAGTTGTGCGTGGACTCCAAGGGCAACTTCACACTCGAGAATTTCGGCAAGGCGGTAGAACTCTACGAAAAAATTCGAATCCCCAGAACCAGTCACATATCGGAGTGCTCCGAGGAGATGGGAAAGATGCAGGAGCTACGAGGGGACGTGGATGCCCGTGACTCCCTGGAATTTATGATCCAGGGTGAGGTCATGATGAATGGTGCGTTGCCCATCATGTTTCAGGGTGTATCCCATCATTACCAAAAGTCTGTGGATAGGGAATTGAGAAAGTTCGAGTTGGAAGAACAACGGAATGTTGTTTCAGCGTACATGCCGGGAGTCCTTGAACCGTCAGATGGCGAGCGTAAGAGAAATGCCAAGAAAGAAGAGGAGGAGATGCGTGAAGCATTTGAGGCAATGATGTACGGTACTGTGGCAGGCCAATGATTGCACTAGGTTCTGTGCATGGTGTGCTGCCAGCAAGGATCGACGCACCGGTGCTAGTGCACTACGCTAAAAGCTAGTGTAAAGATCTTTCGAGTGTTTTGAGTTTGAGAGAATGAAAGTGTTATGAGAGGATTAAGAAGAGCTATGAAAACTAATCAACGAGACGGAGGATCCACAATCAAAGGATCGTAGATCTGAACTCCCGCGGGATTGACTGTAAGTGTGATAGAGTAGGTTGCGGTAGCGATCCTACTCACCTCCACGATCCCAAAACGGAACGCGTGGAGATTCGTCTAGCATTTATTTAGTAGCGTGGAATCTCTTCACGCCAGCTAAATATCTAGCGCGAGTGTTCACCATCGACCTAGTAAGACTAGAGCGGTCATGAGCAACCTGTTCAAATGATCATATTCACGAAAGAATCATTCATGAGTCGAACTCCAAACCCTATACTAGGATCGAGTCGCGAATAAGGCTAAAGCCGTGTATTGCAATTCGCCCCATGACTTTGAGGGTCACGAAGGGCACGACATCAGTCGGACAAGG